CCCCAACAACACGAATACACCCTGGCTCAAATACAAGTCCCGGAGCCAGAGTGTGACATCTGTCCCCTGTTCCATATTTACAATAAGCAGTGCTAGTGCTACTTTAATAATCAGCAGGAGAGACGTCTCAATAGCAAAGGTCAACTCTCCGTCCTTGAGTGTGTATTTCCTGTACTGTCCATAAGGAAATATAGTCTGTCTATGATTCTAGGACTATCCCATACCCACGATTAGCAAGCAGTTTCCTCAGAGAGAGAAAAGTCTCTATAGTGTTGGTTCTATTATAGCAGCATATCATCCACTTCCAGAGAGATCATGGTCTATGATATAAAGCCTGCCCGCTGGGACACATCCACTGTCCCATGGGTGGGTGACTTGGACGGTCTAATGCATGAAGATACTGCACTCTACTTCAACCCTTATCCTAACATCAGTACCATGATGTCTCCATATTAAATGCTATAACTCTTATCCTAACATCAGTACCATGATGTCTCCTTATTAAATGATACAACCCTTATCCTAACACCAGTACCATGATATATCCTTATTAAATGATACAACCCTTATCCTAACATCAGTACCATGATGTCTCCTTATTAAATGATACAACCCTTATCCTAACACCAGTACCATGATGTCTCCTTATTAAATTATACAACCCTTATCCTAACACCAGTACCATGATATCTCCTTATTAAATGATACAACCCTTATCCTAACATCAGTACCATGATATCTCCATATTAAATGATACAACCCTTATCCTAACATCAGTACCATGATATCTCCTTATTAAATTATACAACCCTTATCCTAACACCAGTACCATGATATCTCCTTATTAAATGATACAACCCTTATCCTAACATCAGTACCATGATATCTCCATATTAAATGATACAACCCTTATCCTAACATCAGTACCATGATATCTCATTATTAAATGATACAACCCTTATCTTAACATCAGTACCATGATAGCTCCATATTAAATGATACAACCCTTATCCTAACATCAGTACCATATGATATCTCCATATTAAATTATACAACCCTTATCCTAACATCAGTACCATGGCTTGGTGCGAGGAGCAGGAACGGGCCGGGCTGGCGACGCGCACCACTGGCTTGGCGCGAGGAGCAGGAACAGGCCGGGCTGGCGACGCGCACCACTGGCTTGGTGCGAGGAGCAGGAACAGGCCGGGCTGGCGACGCGCACCACTGGCTTGGTGCGAGGAGCAGGAACAGGCCGGGCCGGGCTGGGAACACGCACCACCGGGGTCCAGTCCAGCTCCGGTCAGCGGCTCCACTCCGGAGCCAGAGCAGTCCGCTCCACCGGGGTCCAGTCCAGATCCGGTCAGCGGCTCCACTCCGGAGCCAGAGCAGTCCGCTCCACCGGTGCCTGATCCAGCTTCGGTCAGCGGCTCCACTCCGGAGCCAGAGTAGTCCGCTCCACTGGGGTCCAGTCCAGCTCCGGTCAGCGGCTCCACTCCGGAGCCAGAGCAGTCTGCTCCACCGGGGTCCAGTCCAGCTCCGGTCAGCGGCTCCACTCCGGAGCCAGAGCAGTCCGCTCCACCGGGATCCAGTCCAGATCCGGTCAGCGGCTCCACTCCGGAGCCAGAGCAGTCCGCTCCACCGGTGCCTGATCCAGCTCCGGTCAGCGGCTCCACTCCGGAGCCAGAGCAGTCCGCTCCACTGGGGTCCAGTCCAGCTCCGGTCAGCGGCTCCACTCCGGAGCCAGAGCAGTCCGCTCCACTGGGGTCCATTCCAGATCCGGTCAGCGGCTCCACTCCGGAGCCAGAGCAGTCCGCTCCACCGGTGCCTGATCCAGCTCCGGTCAGCGGCTCCACTCCGGAGCCAGAGCTGTCCGCTCCACCGGGGTCTAGACCAGCTCCGGTCAGCGGCTCCACTCCGGAGCCAGAGCAGTCCGCTCCACCGGTGCCCGGTCCAGCTCCGGTCAGCGGCTCCAGTCCAGACCCAGACGTCAGCCCCTCTCCAGGTTCGGGGTCTCCGAGGCGGAATGCCCACCCGGCCCCTACCCTGTTAAGTAAAGGTTGTGCGGTCGGAGTCCACACCTTTGGGGAGGGGGGGTACTGTCACGCCCTGACTCTGGGGACTCTTATTTGTTGAGTCAGGGTGTGATTTTCTATGTGGTGTAGATCTATGTTTATAGTCTAGTATGTCTAGATCTATGTTGGCCGGTGTGGTTCCCAATCAGAGGCAGCTGTCGCTCGTTGTCTCTGATTGGGGACCATACTTAGGCAGCCTATTGGCGCTAGTGGGTTGTGGGATCTTGTTCCGTGTAAGGTATGTTGTTTGTGTCTACCTTGGACAAAACTTTATTGTTGCATATGTATGCATATCACGCTGCGCCTTGGTCCGACCTGTCTTTCAACGAACGTGACAAATATATCCTTATTAAATGGTATTTCTGGCAAGAGGTTTGTGATAATAGATTGTAAATGCATGCTGAACTAAGGCTCTTCCTTAATATCTCCTTATTAAATCATATTTCTGGCCAGAGGGTTGAGATAATAGATTGTAAAAGCTGAACCGAGGCTCTCCCTTAAGAGTAGTCTTCTCCTGATTGGTGGTTCAGCACTTAGCAGCAGAGAACAGATGCTTTGATCTGCTCAAGTGTTTTATAAAACACTTGTTCTAGTGTGTCCCAAATGGCACCCTATTCCCTACATTGCGTTGCTTTTGACCAGTGCACAGGTTAGGGACAAATGTAGGGCTTCATAATGTAAGGAGCAGTTCAGACGCAGTGTAGACGTAAAATCTCAGCTGTATGTTTGACTGGAACAGGAAATAAAGATATGTGTGAGAAGGCCGTACTATTCATTAGACAAGGAGATGGAGAAATCCTCTTGCCCCGCACGCTGGTAGCAGGACATCAACACTAGATGGCGATGGAGTATTTCACTGGATGAAAGTGAACCAGGATCAACACGTTAAATAACATTTACTTTACATTTTACATTTTAGTCATTTAGCAGACGCTCTTATCCAGAGCGAATTACAGTTAGTGAGTGCATACATTTTTCATACATTCTCTTCTATCGTAGAGAAACAGTGCCTCCTGTGCAAGACTTTCAGTAAAGTACTTGTTGGCTCATAAAGAATCACAATTACAATAACCAGTGATAGTCTGATCTATGATATAAAACTTAGGATCAATGCCAACTGAATGTAGGATGGTGAAATCCATAAAGAAGCCTTAGGTGAACCACATGCATTTGCTTTGGGCATATATACTGAACAGAAATATAAACGCAACATGTAAAGTGTTGGTCCCATGTTTCATGAACTGAAATAAAATATCCCAGAATTGTTCCATATGCACAGAAAATGTATTTCTCTCACATTTTGGTGCACAAATTTGTTTACATCCCTGTTAGTGAACATTTCTCCATTGCCAAGATAATCCATCCACCTGACAGGTGTGGCATATCAAGAAGATTAAACAGCATGATCATTACACAGGTGCACCTTGTGCTGGGGACAATAAAAGGCCACTCTAAAATGGGCAGTTTTGTCACACAACACAATACCACAGATGTCTCAAGTTTTGAGGGAGCGTGCAATTGGCATGCTGGCTGCAGGAATGTCCACCAGAGCTGTTGCCAGAGAATGTAATGTTAATTTCTCTACCATAAGCCGCCTCCAACATCATTTTAGAGAATTTAGCAGTACATCCAACCGGCCTCACAACCGCAGACCACGTGTAACCACACCAGCCCAGGATTTCCACATCTGGCTTCTTCACCTGCGGGATCGTCTGAGACCAGCCACCCGGACAGATGATGAAACTGAGGAGTATTTCTGTCTGTAATAAGCCCTTTGTGGGGAAAAACAAATTCTCAATGGCTGGGCCTGGCTCCCAAGTGGGTGGGCCTGGCTCCCCAGTGGATGGGCCTATGCCCTCCCAGGCCCACCCATGGCTGCGCTCCTGCCCAGTCATGTGAAATCCATAGATTAGGGCCTAATGAATTTATTTCAATTCACTGATTTCCTTATATGAACTGTAACTCAGTAAAATCGTTGAAATTGTTGCATGTTGCGTTTATATTTTTGTTCAGCCCACATTACATTTACTTTTCACTGGAGGAGTCAACATTTCTCAACACTACTTCTCCTTGATTTGTGATCACCGGCCGGACTGGATAGAACCTGCCACAGTCTTAACTTGAATGGAGCGTGAGGCCTATCAATCATGGATGAGGTTTCACCTGAGTGGTGATGAATAACAACTGAGTGAATTTATCCAACGACCAGTTCTAACAGTCATATGAGGCGTTATAACAGCTATAACAAACAGCTATGGCATCCATAAACATGCTCATTGCTAATCCATGTTGTTGTGACCCAGGTCTTACATTCAGCTGTCCCACTGTTTCAGCCCATACCATTACCATCTCTCTGTGCGTCCAAAATGGCACCCTATTCACTATGGGCCCTGGTCAAAAGTAGTGCACTATATAGGGAATAGGGTGCCATTTGAGACGCAGATCATGTCTATGTGTGTTTAGATGGCTGTCAAGGTAACACTACCCAGGTCCCTGTCTCGAGGCCAGTCAGCACCTCGCCACAGACTCCTCTCCTATAACTGTCCCTGCACCTGGACACAGACTCCTCTCCTATAACTGTCCCTGATCATCTCTGTTTATCCCTGCTGTAAACATACAGGAGCATGGGTCGTGCAGGGAGACAGGGAGAGGGGGCAGAGGGGGAGGCGAGAGAAGAGAGAGAGAGAAGAGTGAGAGAGAGGAGAGAGAGAAGAGAGACATGAGAGAAGAGGGAGGAGAGAGCGAGAGAGAAGGAGAGAGAGAGGAGCAGAGATAGAGAGACCTATATCTCGCTCGAGCGAGCGAGCGAGAGATCGCGATCTATCTCTCCTCTCCTATCTCCTCGCTCATCTAGCTCGCGAGAGACTCCTCGCTCCTCTCTTTTTTAGAGAACCCCAGTCACATGCGAGGCTGCTGGGGTGTTGCTAAAGAGTGGGGTCTATATTTAAACAGGAATGTTCACAGAGCCAGAGACATCATGGAAAGAGACCATAACAACAAACACAGATATGTCTGGGTGAATGTTGCTGATAGCAAAGCAGAGTGAAGGACAGCTACCTCAGATGCATCAGAAGACTGAGACAAGGTAAGGAAGGTGTGTCATACTGAGGTGTAGAGGTTTACCTGCTGAATGTAGCTGACTGTAGCATGGATGATGATCAACATCAGTGTGGTTTCTTTTACCAATAAAGCAGATGCAATAACAACCAGAGTTATTCTAACATTCTGTTTGCTGTGAATGGTGAATGATCAACGAACTTCTGATCAATCAGCCCGACTAGCTAATACACCTGCTTTCATGTCTTAGGTTAGGAGCAAACAATAACAAGTTGATATCAATTGTAGTAATCTGTGCTTGAATAATGTACTGTACTGTAACTACTATATCAAGCTAATGATTCTGATATTTCTCATTTAAAACAGATTGTTCATTCATTGATTTGTGGACCACATGTTGACCTAGATTCTGCTATATGTCAGGCCCCTTGATACTTGAAACTTGTTGAACGTGTGGAAAAAGTAATATAAAAGTAATAAAAATATTATGCCACTTATTATGTTGCTTTTTCTGTTTCTGCCTCCATAATATATACCATAATATATACCATAATATATACCATAATATATACCATAATATTTACCATAATATATACCATAATATATACCATAATATTTACCATAATATATACCATAATATATTCCATAATATATACCATAATATTTACCATAATATATACCATAATATATACCATAATATTTACCATAATATATACCATAATATGTTCCATAATATATACCATAATATATACCATAATATTTACCATAATATATACCATAATATATTCCATAATATATACCATAATATATACCATAATATATTCCATAATATATACAGTGGGGGAAAAAAGTATTTAGTCAGCCACCAATTGTGCAAGTTCTCCCACTTAAAAAGATGAGAGAGGCCTGTAATTTTCATCATAGGTACACGTCAACTCTGACAGACAATTTGAGAAAAAAAATCCAGAAAATCACATTGTAGGATTTTTAATGAATTTATTTGCAAATTATGGTGGAAAATAAGTATTTGGTCACCTACAAACAAGCAAGATTTCTGGCTCTCACAGACCTCTCACAGACCTCTTCTTTAAGAGGCTCCTCTGTCCTCCACTCGTTACCTGTATTAATGGCACCTGTTTGAACTTGTTATCAGTATAAAAGACACCTGTCCACAACCTCAAACAGTCACACTCCAAGCTCCACTATGGCCAAGACCAAAGAGCTGTCAAAGGACACCAGAAACAAAATTGTAGACCTGCACCAGGCTGGGAAGACTGAATCTGCAATAGGTAAGCAGCTTGGTTTGAAAAAATCAACTGTGGGAGCAATTATTAGGAAATGGAAGACATACAAGACCACTGATAATCTCCCTTGATCTGGGGCTCCACGCAAGATCTCACCCCGTGGGGTCAAAATCATCACAAGAACGGTGAGCAAAAATCCCAGAACCACACGGGGGGACCTAGTGAATGACCTGCAGAGAGCTGGGACCAAAGTAACAAAGCCTACTATCAGTAACACACTACGCCGCCAGGGACTTAAATCCTGCAGTGCCAGACGTGTCCCCCTGCTTAAGCCAGTACATGTCCAGGCCCGTCTGAAGTTTGCTAGAATGCATTTGGATGATCCAGAAGAGGATTGGGAGAATGTCATATGGTCAGATGAAACCAAAATAGAACTTTTTGGTAAAAACTCAACTCGTCGTGTTTGGAGGACAAAGAATGCTGAGTTGCATCCAAAGAACACCATACCTACTGTGAAGCATGGGGGTGGAAACATCATGCTTTGGGGCTGTTTTTCTGCAAAGGGACCAGGACGACTGATCCGTGTAAAGGAAAGAATGAATGGGGCCATGTATCGTGAGATTTTGAGTGAAAACCTCCTTCCATCAGCAAGGGCATTGAAGATGAAACGTGGCTGGGTCTTTCAGCATGACAATGATCCCAAACACATCGCCCGGGCAACGAAGGAGTGGCTTCGTAAGAAGCATTTCAAGGTCATGGAGTGGCCTAGCCAGTCTCCAGATCTCAACCCCATAGAACATCTTTGGAGGGAGTTGAAAGTCCGTGTTGCCCAGCGACAGCCCCAAAACATCACTGCTCTAGAGGAGATCTGCATGGAGGAATGGGCCAAAATACCAGCAACAGTGTGTGAAAACCTTGTCAAGACTTACAGAAACCGTTTGACCTGTGTCATTGCCAACAAAGGGTATATAACAAAGTATTGAGAAACGTTTGTTATTGACCAAATACTTATTTTCCACCATAATTTGCAAATAAATTCATAAAAAATCCTACAATGTGATTTTCTGAATTTCTTTTTCTCATTTTGTCTGTCATAGTTGACGTGTACCTATGATGAAAATTACAGGCCTCTCTCATCTTTTTAAGTGGGAGAACTTGCACAATTGGTGGCTGACTAAATACTTTTTTACCCCACTGTACCATAATATTTACCATAATATATACCATAATATTTACCATAATATTTACTAATATTTACCATAATATTTACCATAATATATTCCATATTTTTTACCATAATATATACCATAATATTTACAAGAATATATGCCATAATATTTACCATAATATTTACCATAATATATAGCATAATATTTACCATAATATTTACCATAATATTTACCATAATATATTCCATAATTTTTACCATAATATATACCATAATATTTACCATAATATATGCCATAATATTTACCATAATATATTCCATAATATTTACCATAATATATACCATAATTTACCATAATATTTACCATAATATTTACCATAATATTTACCATAATATGTACCATAATATTTACCATAATATTACCAAATTTACCATAAAAATTCCATAATATATACCATAATATATACCATAATATTTACCATAATATTTACCATAGTATATACCATAATATATACCATAATATTTACCATAATATATACCATAATATATTCCATAATATATACCATAATATATTCCATAATATATACCATAATATTTACCATAATATATACCATAATATTTACCATAATATATACCATAATATATACCATAATATATACTATAATATATACCATAATATTTACCATAATATATACTATAATATATACCATATTATAAACTGGGTGGTTCTAGCCCTGAATGCTGATTGGCTAAAAGCCATGGTATATCAGACCTTATACCATGGATAGTGGCCATATACCACACCCCCTCGGGCGTTATTGCTTAAATATATACCATAACATATACCATAATATGTTTGATAATATGTACCATAACATATACAGTGGGGGAAAAAAGTATTTAGTCAGCCACCAATTGTGCAAGTTCTCCTACTTAAAAAGATGAGAGAGGCCTGTAATTTTCATCATAGGTACACGTCAACTATGACAGACAAAATGAGAAAAAAAAATCCAGAAAATCACATTGTAGGATTTTTTATGAATTTATTTGCAAATTATGGTGGAAAATAAGTATTTGGTCAATAACAAAAGTTTCTCAATACTTTGTTATATACCCTTTGTTGGCAATGACACAGGTCAAACGGTTTCTGTAAGTCTTGACAAGGTTTTCACACACTGTTGCTGGTATTTTGGCCCATTCCTCCATGCAGATCTCCTCTAGAGCAGTGATGTTTTGGGGCTGTCGCTGGGCAACACGGACTTTCAACTCCCTCCAAAGATGTTCTATGGGGTTGAGATCTGGAGACTGGCTAGGCCACTCCATGACCTTGAAATGCTTCTTACGAAGCCACTCCTTCGTTGCCCGGGCGATGTGTTTGGGATCATTGTCATGCTGAAAGACCCAGCCACGTTTCATCTTCAATGCCCTTGCTGATAGAAGGAGGTTTTCACTCAAAATCTCACGATACATGGCCCCATTCATTCTTTCCTTTACACGGATCAGTCGTCCTGGTCCCTTTGCAGAAAAACAGCCCCAAAGCATGATGTTTCCACCCCCATGCTTCACAGTAGGTATGGTGTTCTTTGGATGCAACTCAGCATTCTTTGTCCTCCAAACACGACGAGTTGAGTTTTTACCAAAAAGTTCTATTTTGGTTTCATCTGACCATATGACATTCTCCCAATCCTCTTCTGGATCATCCAAATGCATTCTAGCAAACTTCAGACGGGCCTGGACATGTACTGGCTTAAGCAGGGGGACACGTCTGGCACTGCAGGATTTAAGTCCCTGGCGGCGTAGTGTGTTACTGATAGTAGGCTTTGTTACTTTGGTCCCAGCTCTCTGCAGGTCATTCACTAGGTCCCCCCGTGTGGTTCTGGGATTTTTGCTCACCGTTCTTGTGATGATTTTGACCCCACGGGGTGAGATCTTGCGTGGAGCCCCAGATCAAGGGAGATTATCAGTGGTCTTGTATGTCTTCCATTTCCTAATAATTGCTCCCACAGTTGATTTCTTCAAACCAAGCTGCTTACCTATTGCAGATTCAGTCTTCCCAGCCTGGTGCAGGTCTACAATTTTGTTTCTGGTGTCCTTTGACAGCTCTTTGGTCTTGGCCATAGTGGAGTTTTGAGTGTGACTGTTTGAGGTTGTGGACAGGTGTCTTTTATACTCATAACAAGTTCAAACAGGTGCCTTTAATACAGGTAACAAGTGGAGGACAGAGGAGCCTCTTAAAGAAGAAGTTACAGGTCTGTGAGAGCCAGAAATCTTGCTTGTTTGTAGGTGACCAAATACTTATTTTCCACCATCATTTGCAAATTAATTAATAAAAAATCCTACAATGTGATTTTCAGGATTTTTTTTCCTCAATTTTTCTGTCATAGTTGACGTGTACCTATGATGAAAATTACAGGCCTCTCTCATCTTTTTAAGTGGGAGAACTTGCACAATTGGTGGCTGACTAAATACTTTTTTCCCCCACTGTACCATAGTATAAAACATTTTCAACACTTAGAATGCCGCTATTAATAATTATTCTGGAGGTTGCAGATAATAGTGACCTATGACTACAGACTATTACTACAGACTATATAACTACAGACTATTACTACAGACTATATAACTATAGACTATACCTACAGACTATGATTATAGACTGACTACAGACTGACTACAGACTATATAACTATAGACTATGACTACAGACTATGATTGTAAACTGACTACAGACTGACTACAGACTATAACTATAGACTATATAACTATAGACTATACCTACAGACTATGATTATAGACTGACTACAGACTGACTACAGACTGACTACAGACTATGACTACATACTATTACTACAGACTGTATAACTATAGACTATGACTACAGACTATGATTATAGACTGACTACAGACTGACTACAGACTATATAACTACAGACTATGACTACAGACTATAACTATAGATTATATAACTATAGACTATACCTACAGACTATGACTACAGACTGACTACAGACTATGACTAGGACCTAGTCCCAGACCGCCAGCTGGGTTATGATAGGGCTACTATAATAAGGCCAGCTGGGTTATGATAGGGCTACTATAATAAGGCCAGCTGGGTTATGATAGGGCTACTATAATAAGGCCAGCTGGGTTATGATAGGGCTACTATAATAAGGCCAGCTGGGTTATGATAGGGCTACTATAATTAGGCCAGCTGGGTTATGATAGGGCTACTATAATAAGGCCAGCTGGGTTATGATAGGGCTACTATAATAAGGCCAGCTGGGTTATGATAGGGCTACTATAATAAGGCCAGCTGGGTTATGATAGGGCTACTATAATAAGGCCAGCTGGGTCATGATAGGGCTACTATAATATGTGAACATTGATCATGAGCCTCATGCTATCTGCATTTGAATTCTTTGTGCAGAAAACAGCATGCTACTGAAGATACCATTTCTAAAACAATTTGAGGTATTTATGATGGTGATGGAGTCACAGTCAGAGGTGGAAAACACCTAGGCCTTGGATTCTGGAGAAAACAAACGTTAGAGAAAACTAAATCAGCTGACCTTTCTATTCCGTCATGTCACTGGCCTGTTCAAACTACTCACTCACCTCTACAGAGAAAACCCCAAACAAAACCACATTGAATCCATTTCCTCCCAAATCAAACCATGTCCTTCTTTTCCAGAATGGACCAATCAAAGCCACACCCGGAGGTGTTCCACTACAGCAACGAGGATCAGTCGTCCCACATCCTGCTGCAGCTGAACCGCCTCAGACAGGAGAGGATCCTTACTGACGTGCTCCTCTGTTCAGATAACACAGAGATCCCCTGCCACCGCAACGTGCTGGCCTCCAGCAGTCCTTACTTCACAGCCATGTTCTGTCACGACTTCAGAGAAAGCCACCAGGAGAAGGTGGATCTGAAGGTAGGGTTATTCACTTTTTAAATGAAAAATAATGCTTGTTTTTGTAAAACTAGACTAGCATCCTGCCTCACTCTGCAGAAACAGGAGAAGGCTTACTTTTATGTCAAGTGCTGCGTAGTTTCTGCCTGTCAATGAAAGGCACCATACAAATAAAATCTATTCTTCTTCTTATTATTATTTAAGGGGATCACCTCCAGCATCCTGAGTGACATTGTGGACTACGTCTACACAGGGGTCATCACCATCACCATGGAGATAGTGCTTCCCCTGATGCAGGCTGTCTCCATGCTGCAGTACACCAGGCTGTTCGAGGCCTGCTCCTCTTTCCTGCAGGTGACCCACAGATGAATTAGCTTTCTTGCTAACTCTGGCACTTTCACATTGATGTTGAAAACTTTAATATGATTAATAATGTGCGTTGTCCTTGGTAAATACATTAAACCATTTTTTGTTGTTGTTGAAATTTCAGGAGCAGCTGAGCCCAGACAACTGCCTCAGCATGATCCGGCTGTCAGAGATATTACACTGCGGCAGCCTGAAGGAGAAGGTCAGTAGAATTCGTTTTGTTTTAAATAATGTGTTGTTGGTTGACTTGGGCAGCATATGGGCCCTGGTCAAAAGTAGTGTATTAAAACTAATTAGGGAAAAGGCTGCTATTTCAGACTCAGCCCATATGTATTGTCAATTTTCAAATAAAATGCATTAATTAAATCGTTGATTCCAGGCCAGGGAGATGGCAGTACAGAGCTTCTCTGACGTCTCTACCTCTGATGACTTGTGTGAGCTCTCCTTACCTGAGCTGATGAGTTACCTGGAGGATGACCGGCTGTGTGCCGAGGAGGAGCAGGTAAGATAAGATAACGTAATAAGGGTAATGTACGGTAAGATTAGATAGTACTTTATATAAATCCCTAAAAGGGTCCGTTTGTTTGCACCAGCTAATGTATACAACACCAATAAACACCCAATCAACAACAATGGAGAGACGGACACTAGAAGCAGCATCATCAATTAAGTTAAAACCATCAATGGATGTTAAGAACTAAGTGTTGATATTAAAATGGCTTATTAAACCCAGGTGTTCGAGACGTTGCTGGCGTGGATCCACCACGACCCATTCTCCCGGCGCGGCGCCATCTCCGACCTCTTCAAGAAGGTGCGTCTACGCTACATCCACCCCACCTACCTGTTCCAGTTCATTGCCAGCGACCCCCTCATCCAGTCCTCCACCCTCTGCACCGAGGTCATCGAGTCCGTCCGACGCCTCATGTTCTCCATCACTACTAAGTGTGGGTCGGACCTCAAGCCCCTGTGGGTGACCCCACGGCGCTACACCTGCCGGGAGACCCTGGTTCTAGTCGGCGGCCGCAAGAACAACGAGCAGACGTCCCGTGAAGCGCTCCTGTTCGACGAGAGGACTCAGCGCTGGCAGTGGCTGGCCAAGCTGCCCCTGCGGCTCTACAAGGCCTCCTACGTCTGTATCCACAGCATCCTGTATGTTCTGGGAGGCCTCACCATGAACACCAAACACAGAGTGGTTAGCACCACTGTCTATATGTTATCTCTGAAGACCAACCAGTGGAGGACGGCTGAGCCCATGATCCAGCCTCGCTTCGCCCACCAGTCTGTCTCCTACCTGCACTTTATCTTCGTCCTGGGGGGCCTGGGGCCAGAGAAGCAGGTGTGTGACACGGTGGAGAGATACAATAGTATGTTCAACCAATGGGAGGCTATGGTTCCCATGCCGACTGCTGTGCTACACCCGGCGGTCGCCGCTAACGATCAAAGAATCTACCTGTTCGGGGGAGAGGACGCGATGCAGAACCCTGTCAGGATGATACAGGTAGGCAGAATGTCATACTGTTGAGATTGCTGTTGAGTGGTGAACTTGAGTCTTGAAGTCTTGAGTCTTGAAGTCTTGAAGTCTTGAGTCTTGAGTCTTGAAGTCTTGAAGTCTTGAAGTCTTGAAGTCTTGAGTCTTGAGTCTTGAAGTCATGAAGTCATGAAGTCTTGAGTCTTGAGTCTTGAAGTCTTGAGTCTTGAAGTCTTGACTCTTGAAGTCTTGGAGTTAATTCTTGAACATTTTAGCCAACAATTATGCACAGAAACACTAAACTCTTCTAAACCTATCCTTTTCTCCAGGTGTATCACATTGGCAGGAATATGTGGTCCATGATGGAGACCAGGACAGTGAAGAACGTTTCTGCACCAGCAGCTGTCATTGATGACAAGATCTACATTATCGGAGGTAGGAGGAGGGTGGATGAGTCAGAAAAAAGACAATCTGATGTCAATTAAATACAACTTTATTTGTCTACTTAGGACTTCGAGATCTTTGATATCTTCTGTCTTTTGTCAAGACAACCTTACCAGCAGCTTTTCCCTAACTGTCACCATGTCCTTTACAGGCTACACCAGAAGAATGATAGCGTACGACACCAAAGCCAACCGGTTTCTGAAGTGTGAGAATATGAAGGCGAGGAGAATGCACCATGCTGCCACGGTGTTCAACAACAAACTGTACGTGACCGGAGGACGCTTCATCAACGGACATGATGTCATAGAGGACTCTGACAGCTTTGAGTGCTATGACCCAAAGACTGACACATGGACAACCAAGGGGACACTGCCATACAAGCTGTTTGACCACGGTTCTCTATCCCTGGTGTGTGTCTCCAACAAACCCAACCCTCCCTGAGTGGGTTTCACTGTCTATTGCATCTCTGATGTCCTTCCCTGTCCCACAAACACTCACCAAAACATCCCTCAATGGGTGACAGTATTTCCAGCAGCGAATCTTAAATCAAATGAGATTTTAGAGATGCTACTTGTCATATGGAAGCGAAGCCCTGGGCAGTTAATTGTTGTGTCGAACTGAAGGCTATAGGTGTATAAAGTACTGTAGGCTATATGAAGGCTACAGTACATGATGCCCAACTGTTTAGTTACCAGTCCAAACACGTTGCCAACAGACTGGATGATATTACAACCCACTAGGTAAAAACTGGTTGTAACAGTGTTGTTTCCACGTCATTTCAACCAAAAAATTCAAATTCAACTCTTTTGCCCTCAGAACAACCTCAATTTGTCGGGGCATGGACTCTACAAGGTGTTGAAAGCGTTCCACAGGGACGCTGGCCCATGTTGACTCCAATGCTTCCCACAGTTGTGTCAAGTTGGCTGGATGTCCTTTAGGTGGTGGACCATTCTTGATACACACGGGAAACTGTTGAGCGTGAAAAACCCATCAGTGTTGCAGTTCTTGACACAAACCAGTGCGCCTGGCACCTACTACCATACCCCGTTCAAAGGCACTTAAATCTTCTGTCTTGCCCATTCACCCTCTGAATGGCACAAATACACAATCCATGTCTCAATTGTCTCAAGGCTTAAAAATCCTTCTTTAACCTGTCTCCTCCCCTTCATCTACACTGATTGAAGTGGATTTAACAGGTGACATCGATAAGGGATCATAGCTTTCACCTGGATTCAACTGGTCAGTCTATGCTATGGAAAGAGCAAGTGTTCTTAATGTTTTGTACACTCAGTGTATATTTATTAATAACATTCCTCTGAGGTGATGTTGATGGAATTATTCATATTTAGTGAGAATTTATAACCAAGTGAATGGACATAAAGTGAAATAATCCCATATGCACATGATAAGAATGACGTCGTGGTTATATCTGAAGAGTGATAGGGTGATAACTCTGTCTGTTGACATGTATCTTCTTACTCATTTATGTGTGGTGACACCGTACAAATTGTTTGCTAACAGATCTATGCAATCACCTCATAATTGTGTTTTTTTTTAAAGTGGTTTTATATTCCTGTTTGTTTGTTTGTGTAATGTTGTTTATTAATAACAAATAAAATGTTATCACAAAGACTGTGGCAGTCAATTTCATTTAACATTATTCTGGACTCCTCTCTCTATAAAGAGGTCTCAGTCCCACTGTGAGGTCTCAATCTCACTGTGAGGTCTCAGTCTCACTGTAACATCTCAGTCTCACTGTAAGGTCTCAGTCCCACTGTGAGGTCCTAGTCTCACTGTGAGGTCTCAGTCCCACTGTAATGTCTCAGACTCACTGTGACGTCTCAGTCTCACTGTAACGTCTCAGTCTCACTGTGAGGTCTCAGTCTCACTGTAATGTCTCAGTCTCACTGTAATGTCTCAGTCTCACTGTGAGGTCTCAGTCTCACTGTGAGGTCTCAGTCTCACTGTAATGTCTCAGTCTCACTGTGAGGTCTCAGTCCCACTGTGAGGTCTCAGTCTTAGCCATCTCAGTCTCACTGTAACGTCTCAGTCTCACTGTGAGGTCTCAGTCTCAATGTAACGTCTCAGTCTCACTGTGAGATCTCAGTCTCACTGTGAGGTTTCAGTCCCACTGTGAGGTCTCAGTCTCACTGTAACGTCTCAGTCTCACTGTAACGTCTCAGTCTCACTGTAATGTCTCAGTCTCACTGTGAGGTCTCTGTCTCACTATGAGGTCTCAGTCCCACTGTGGGGTCTCAGTCTTAGCTGTCTCAGTCTCACTGTAACGTCTCAGTCTCACTGTGAGGTCTCAGTCCCACTGTGAGGTCTCAGTCCCACTGTGAGGTCTCAGTCCCACTATGAGGTCTCAGTCCCACTGTGAGATCTCAATCCCACTGTGAGGTCTCAGTCTCACTGTGAGGTCTCAATCTCACTGTGAGGTCTCAGTCCCACTGTGAGGTCTCAGTCTTAACCGTCTCAGTCTAGAGAACAGATGTAACCTGAGTAGCCCATCTATCTCTCATGTAAAGTCCATGACCCGCTGGTCTCGCTGGTTTCGCTGGTCTCGCTCCACCACGACCAGCACATGCCCAGACAGGAACAGGGGGAGGGGTGGGGGGCTTCATTAGACGACATGAGCCAACGTGGATGAAGAGGCATCTCTTACGACAGAGGAGGAGAGGACAGCATATTGTATTTCCGATTTCAACATTTAAATAAATATCCCAATAAATCACTTACAGTACATCAGAGTAGTAGACTAAGATTGTACAACAGGTTACTCTCACCTTCAATGTTTCATGAATGATTTAATAATAATCGTTACTTACGAAATGACTCATGACTTCTGAAACATCATGACCCCATCTCTGGGGTTATTTTCGTAAACAAACAGGAGGGGGAACATTACACCACGTGAGTCATGTGGACTGCCCGTTGCTACACTGGCTTCAGGACAGGCAGATGTGACAGCGAGCCCGGGCCGGCCGTGCCCCCTGGAGCCAACAGGGAGGAACAGTTTCACAAGACCACCTGAGAGATGATGAAACTGATTAAACTGAAGAGGGACAGCAACAGGTGGATAGGAGAGAGAGACAGACTGGATGGTCAGGTGCTGTCTGACAACCACAACACAAACACTGAGCGAGAGAGAGAGAGAGAGAGAGAGAGAGAGAGAGAGAGAGAGCGAGAGAGAGAGAGAGAGAGAGAGAGAGAGAGAGAGAGAGGAGAGAGAGAGAGAGAGAGAGAGAGAGAGAGAGAGAGAGCAGAGAGAGAGAGAGAGAGAGAGCAAGAGAGACACAGAGAGAGAGAGACAGCCACAACTCAAACACACAGCGAGAGAGACAGAGACAGAGAGAGAGAGAGACCAGAGACAGAGGAGAGAGAGAGAGAGACAGAGAGAGAGGAACCAGACAGTTCTGTTCATCAGTGTTTAATCATTTTTTAAGCAATCACGATATATATGCCTTTTTTTTTTAAACATATGTGTGGTCCCGGGAATCGAACCCACTATCCTGGCATTGCAAGAGCCATGCTCTACTAACTGACATGATCACCAATCAGTAACTATTTTTTGTTTTGTAACCTATTATGATTGAATGTTTGGATGCGTTTGGTCACGCCACCCCCAATCTGATGTTTCTGTAATGTTGTCCTGTTTCACCAAGGGAAATGTCATCCACATGGATCTCTAGGAAATCCCCCTGCTCTGGTTGCATCTGGTGGCAGGCATAACTTGGGGGAAGATATTTCGGGAAGAACAAACTGTCACGTTGCTCAATGTTACAAAGAAACAGAATTCTTTGAATGTATAGTTAGTAATTTCAGAATGAGCAGTGGTGGAAAAAGTACTCAATTGTCATACTTGAGTAAAAGTAAAGATACCTTAACAGAAAATTACTCAAGTAAAAGTGAAAGTTACCCAGTAAAATACTACATGAGTAAAAGTCTAAAAGTATCTGGTTTTAAATGTACAGTTTAAATGTACAGGCAGTACGGATGACAAAGCGTTATATTGATTGGTGCCATAATTCTGTCCTGTTTGAGCATTCTAATTGTAACGAGTACTTTTAGGTGTCAGGGAAAATGTATGGAGTAAAAAGTACATTATTTTCATTAGGAATGTAGTGGAGTAAAAGTAAAAGTTGTCAAAAATATAAATAGTAAAGTAAAGTACAGATACCCCAAAAAACTACTTAAGTAGTACTTAAAATGATTTTTACTTAAGTATTTTACACCACTGAGAACGAGCACATGAAGAAAGAAATGCACAAAAAAGTGTGAATCTGACTGGAAGTGTGCATCTGACCGGAAGTGTGCATCTGACTGGAAGTGTGCATCTGACTGGAAGTGTGCATCTGACTGGAAGTGTGCATCTGACCGGGATCTGACTGGAAGTGTGCATCTGACTGGAAGTGTGCATCTGACCGGAAGTGTGCATCTGACTGGAAGTGTGCATCTGACCGGAAGTGTGCATCTGACCGGAAGTGTGCAGAGACTTTCCCCTGTTTCTCAAGTCATTTTTACTCCAGCACCTTCACTAATGGGTTTTGGGTGTGTGGTAGATTCTGCCTATTTTCCAGAATGTGCACATAACAAAGAATGCTGTACAACACATAGAACATCTAGTACTCAGTGCATATCATATGAACCGGTGAACAACCGGTGAATAACAACGTCTACATTAGAAGCACAGGAGGGAATTGATCTTGTCCATGCTTTAGATTCGTCTTAGACTAAACACGATAGCTTTGACTACAATGCTTCATTTCATCACACACATCATACCAAAGAGGATAATCAATTGTTGTTCAGAAACGTGTTTTCGTATTGAACAAAACAAAACAAAAGTCTAATAAAAGTATTTTAATAAAATAAAACATCATTAGCCTACTTATCACACTGCCACCCCACCAACTGCTAGTTGGGACCTTCTTAAAAAAAGTAATCATCTTCTAGCTGTCTCTGAACAGGCCTCAGGGAGATACAAACACAAACAGACCCCACAGAGCCCCAGGACAGCAACATAATTAGACCCAACCAAATCATGAGAAAACAAAAAGAGAATTACTTGACACATTGGAAAGAATTTACAAAAAAACAGAGCAAACTAGAATGCTATTTAGCCTTAAACAGAGAGTACACAGTGGCAGAATACCTGACCACTGTGACTGACCCAAAATTAAGGAAATCTTTGCTATTGAGAGAGGCCGCCGTAGGCAGACCTGGCTCTCAAGAGAAGACAGGCTATGTGCACACTGCCCACAAAATGAGGTGGAAACTGAGCTGCACTTCATAACCTCCTGCCAAATGTATGAATATATTAAAGACACATATTTCCCTCAGATTACATAGACCCACAAATAATTTGAAAACAAATCCAATTTTGATAAACTCCCGTATCTATTGGGTGAAATACCATAGTGTGCCATCACAGCAGCAAGATTTGTGACCTGATGCCACAAGAAAAGGGTAACCAGTGAAGAACAAACACCATTGTAAATACAACTCATATTTGTGTTTATTTATTTTCCTTTTTGTACTTTAACTATTTGCACATCATTACAACACTGTATATAGACATAATATGATACTTGAAATGTCTTTATTCTTTTGGAACTTTTGTGAGTGTAATATTTACTGTTCATTTTTTATTGTTTATTTCACTTTTGCTTATTATCTATTTCACTTGCTTTGGCAATGTAAACTTATGATTCCCTTGACAATAAAGCCCATTAAATTGAAATTGAAATTGAATTGAGAGAGAGAGAGAGAGAGAGAGAGAGAGAGAGAGAGAGAGAGAGAGAGAGAGAGAGAGAGAGAGAGAGAGAGAGAGAGAGGTCAGATATGTGCTAAGAATATGGCACATGTAAATGATATGAACACATCATATCATAACACATCATAACACATCATATCATAACACATTACATCATAACACATAACATCATAACACATCATATCATAACACATTACATCATAACACATCACATCATATCATAACACATCATATCATAACACATCATCATAAACATTTCAGCCCCATCATGTCATACTGGGAGCAGGGTCTAATGACTGTGACCATTTTTAAACAGAAAGTCCAGGCCGGATCAGTCAACCAGGCAAGGCACCTGCTCTGGGGATCCGTTAGCATCTGTTGTATAGACAGAAAGTCCAGGGGATCAGTTACCCAGGCTGAGCCACCTGCCTGGGGCTCCAGTTACCAGTTCTGTTCTACTGAGCCACCTGCTCTGGGGCCTCATTTACCCAGTCTGTTCTATGAGGCACCTGCTGGGCTCCAGTTACCCAGTCTGTTCTATAGACCACCTGCTCTGGGGCTCCAGTACCCAGTCTGTTCTACTGAGCCACTGCTCTGGGCTCCAGTTAGCCATCGTTTCTACTGAGGCACTGCTCTGGGGCTCAGTTGAGCCAGTCTGTTCTACTGAGCACCTGCTTGGGGCTCCAGTTACCCAGTCTGTTCTACTGAGCCACCTGCTCTGGGGTCCAGTTACCCAGTCTGTTCTACTGAGACACCTGCTCTGGGGCTCCAGTTAGCCATTCTGTTCTACTGAGCCACCTGCTCTGGGGCTCCAGTTACCCAGTCTGTTCTACTGAGCCACCTGCTCTGGGGCTCCAGTTACCCAGTCTGTTCTACTGAGGCACCTGCTCTGGGGCTCCAGTTACCCAGTCTGTTCTACTGAGCCACCTGCTCTGGGGCTCCAGTTACCCAGTCTGTTCTACTGAGACACCTGCTCTGGGGCTCCAGTTACCCAGTCTGTTCTACTGAGCCACCTGCTCTGGGGCTCCAGTTACCCAGTCTGTTCTACTGAGCCACCTGCTCTGGGGCTCCAGTTACCCAGTCTGTTCTACTGAGCCACCTGCTCTGGGGCTCCAGTTAGCCAGTCTGTTCTACTGAGACACCTGCTCTGGGGCTCCAGTTACCCATTCTGTTCTACTGAGCCACCTGCTCTGGGGCTCCAGTTACCCAGTCTGTTCTACTGAGCCACCTGCTCTGGGGCTCCAGTTACCCAGTCTGTTCTACTGAGCCACCTGCTCTGGGGCTCCAGTTACCCAGTCTGTTCTACTGAGCCACCTGCTCTGAGGCTCCAGTTAGCCATTCTGTTCTACTGAGCCACCTGCTCTGGGGCTCCAGTTACCCAGTCTGTTCTACTGAGGCACCTGCTCTGGGGCTCCAGTTACCCAGTCTGTTCTACTGAGCCACCTGCTCTGGGGCTCCAGTTACCCAGTCTGTTCTACTGAGGCACCTGCTCTGGGGCTCCAGTTACCCAGTCTGTTCTACTGAGGCACCTGCTCTGGGGCTCCAGTTACCCAGTCTGTTCTACTGAGCCACCTGCTCTGGGGCTCCAGTTACCCAGTCTGTTCTACTGAGCCACCTGCTCTGGGGCTCCAGTTACCCAGTCGGTTCTACTGAGGCACCTGCTCTGGGGCTCCAGTTAGCCAGTCTGTTCTACTGAGCCACCTGCTCTGGGGCTCCAGTTACCCAGTCTGTTCTACTGAGGCACCTGCTCTGGGGCTCCAGTTAGCCACTCCAGTTAAACACTTTTAACATAGGCCAGGCCCTGTAGTTACCTCATATCAGAGTGATAATGCTTTGCATTATGCCTGGGAAGAAAATACTTCAATTTGCTCAACTTGCCATTGACTCAACCATTGGTTACCCCATGGCCATTGGCTCAACTTACCCCAAGGCAAACATTTTGACTATACTAGCCCACACAGCTACAATGATGCACTTTCATACTAGGTTTAGGACCTCACATTGAAGCTTATAGAGACCCCAACTGATGTATAGAACAATCTTAAAAGTATGTACTTTGGTTTAGATACAAGCATCATGAAACTTCTAGCGCAGTAAATTATTTTGACTTGGTGAAAATCAATTTTTTTGGACATAACTTGCTTACCACTTTTTCCAAGTGGTATCTTCCTTCACAGACTCCATAAAATGATGACCTCTTCCTAAAATGTGGTGAAATTATTAATTTTGTGTGTGGTTTCCTAGAGGGTGGCTCAACCTCCCTCCCCCTCTTGTTTCCACAATGTAACCCTGGACTCTAGCAGAATCCTGAGAAGAGACAAGACTTCATTTTTAACTTCCAGGGATGAGTCAGGGGAATTGAAAGAAACTGAGCCTGAAGGAGTTCTGGCCTGTGTTTTTTATTTATTTACCATAAGATTATTTTAACTAAGTCACCAAGAAAGGCTTGTTGTGTCTAGGTCAAATGAAAAATAATAATAAATAAATAATATGCCATTTAGCAGACGCTTTTATCCAAAGCGACTTACAGTCATGCGTGCATACATTTTTAGGTATGGGGTGGTCCCGGGGATCGAACCCACTACCCTGGCGTTACAAGCGCCATGCTCTACCAAAAGCTCTGATTCAGCAGTTTAAAGGGGTTAATGTATCTTCCAGCATAGGATATTTACCCCCTAAACACCCACTGTTGGTGATTATACTCCTTCCCTGGGTCGTTTCGCAATAAAGATAATAAACAAAGCCACGTGTTGCTGCACAGTTTCCAAAAGGGGGCGGAGCTCAAGTGTTCACTTCCCGGATTGTTCGCTGGAGAATATAAAGGCAGCTGCGCAGTCACAATACTAGACAAGACATCAAAGACAATACTTTATTAAAGACCAGACGGCAGAGGAAAATAATATATCTGCATCTTAGAACATTTAACGCTCTTCAACATAAAGTCGGAACTGTAATCTTCTTTCGGCACTGTTGATTTAAACTGTCGAGAATGCCTTTTCTTGGACAGGATTGGAGGTCCCCCGGTCAGAGCTGGGTTAAAACTGAAGAGGGATGGAAAAATTATTCTTCAGACGACAAAAACAGCAATGACTCAGACGTGAGGTCAGTATCCGTGCTTCCTGATACATTTTGGCTTGCGTAGCATCAACACCAGTTAGTGAAATGGAGAACAACTGAAGTGCGCCATCAAGTTATCCAAGGAATTTTCCCATGAAATGCTGAGAGAGAGAGAGAGAGAGAGAGAGAGAGAGAGAGAGAGAGAGAGAGAGAGAGGAACTTCTGAGTGTAATGTTTACTGTAAATTGTTATTGTTTATTTCACTTTTGTTTACTATCTACTTCACTTGCTTTGGCAATATTAACATATGTTTCCCATGCCAATAAAGCCCTTGAATTGAATTGAGAGAGAGAGAGAATTTGACATCCAGTCTACCTCTAAAATAAGTGATAAATAGATAGGTTTCTATCAATTTATCACTTATCTGACGTTCCTCACAATACAGTATTTGCTATTGCTGTTATACTATGGCTAAGCGGGAGACAGCGATTGTTGTTATTGCGTCTTTGAGCCTGTGTTCCTACTCGTTAATCATTGTGCTATAAATAACTACTGTACAAGTTATGGGATTAGTAGACATCTGTTGGATTTACAGTGTGTCCTGACTCCAGGCAATATTAAGTCAACTATAGGCCCACCTTTTGGAAAACATAGTATCATCTCAAATGAGCCATTTAAACATTTCATACAATGATAAACTCAGCGTTTTTTTTTAAGTACCGGTACATAAGTTTAGCTTTTGTACACCAGATGTGTAACTGGATGTGTGGTCCGTCTTCCAGCTATTGCAAACCAGAGGAAGAGTGCTTCCAGGAGAATGTGCTGCTGGCATACGACATGGCAGTTAAGAAGAGAAGGAAAGACTTCATGAACAACAACACAAAGATTCCTTGTAATTGAATCTACAGTATAGACCGGGCAATTACACAACAAATGCCCACTGCACAGTGATGCACAGTACTTTTCATGAACGTCCTCAGTAACACAGTCTCCTTTCCCTACAGATTTCCACAAAGAGAAATGGATTTATGTTCACAAAGGAAGCACTAAAGAGGTGAGGAAAGGACTCTCTTTAACGTTGTCATTCTAAACATAAACCGTTACAGTGTACCCTGTAGCAGTAAACCAGACCTTAATACCTGATCATCTGATTATCCCAGCGCCATGGATACTGCACACTGGGAGAAGCTTTCAACCGGCTGGACTTCTGCAGTGCCATCAAGGACAGCAGGAGGTTCAACTACGTCGTACGGGTGAGTTGACTTCTCCGTACTACTACTTCTGTGTTAAATCATAATGAAGGGAATGCTATGAGATGGAAAATAATTGTATTGTCCAGCCGAGGATGTGAATTGTCCTTTGGCGTCACCTTAGGAAAATGACAAACATCACACCATGCATGCATACTAATGTAGTGTTGAACTTTGCAACGCCAGGGTTGTGAGTTCGTTTCCCACGGGGGGCCAGTGTGAAAAATGTATGCACTCACTAACTGTAAGTTGCTCTGGATAAGAGCGTCTGCTAAATGACTAAAATGTAAATGTAAAATATTAAAGGGTGTTACCACAGAGAGTAGTGTACTGAGGGGTGTTTAAAGGGCTGTGTTATGTTCTGGGCGTGTAGGTCTCTCTCTTCTCTTGATTGCTTCGTCTCTCTGTGATGTTTCTCTCTCTGCTGTTTCTCTCTCTGCTATTTCTCTCTCTCTCTCTGCTGTTTCTCTCTCTCTCTCTCTGCTGTTTCTCTCTCTCTCTCGCTCTGTGCTGTTTCTCTCTCTCTCTCTCGCTCTGTGCTGTTTCTCTCTCTCTCTCTCTCTCTCTCTGTGCTGTTTCTCTCTCTCTCTGCTGTTTCTCTCTCTCGCTCTGTGCTGTTTCTCTCTGTGCTGTTTCTCTCTCTCTCTCTCGCTCTGTGCTGTTTCTCTCTCTCTCTCTCTCTCTCTCTCTCTCTCTCTCTCTGTGCTGTTTCTCTCTCTCTCTCTGCTGTTTCTCTCTCTCGCTCTGTGCTGTTTCTCTCTGTGCTGTTTCTCTCTCTCTCTCTCTCGCTCTGTGCTGTTTCTCTCTCTCTGCTGTTTCTCTCTATCTCTGGGCCTTATCACTTCTCTCCAGACAAGAGGCCCTTTGGAGATATTCTCTGTCTCAACTCACAGTGGACTGTGAGGGAGAGAGAGAGACTGTCAGGGAGAGAGATACTGTGTGTGTGTTTGGTGTTCTCTCTCTGTTGATTAACAGAGAACTAGATTATTCTGAAACTAGTGTGGGCAGTAAGTACAGACGATCAGCAGAATAATATCTAGGTAATGGTAGCAGGGTCCGATATATTGGTCTGGGATGTGTTGTCCAGGTCAGTATACTGCTGTGTCATGGTAGTAGTGATCATTGGTCTGGGATGTGTTGTCCAGGTCAGTGTACTGCTGCTGGCTGCACGGTATTAGTGAGGTTCTCGGTTACACAGATCAGGTTTACCACAGACTGGAAACAACAACTGCATCCCAAATGGCACCCTATTCCCTATATAGTGCACTACGATTGAGCAGGGCCCATAGGGTGACACAACAACGGTCATGGAAAATCAGCTACATGTTGACCTAGTAGGCAATGCTCTCTGGGTTAGTGGAAATAGAGTTGGACAAAGCTACGTTGACGTTTAGTTAGTGTAGAGTAGTGGCTAAAAGTACACACAATGCCCTGACCTACAGCTGCCATTGCTCCACACACAGAACTTGTTGGGGCTGTGAAGAGGGGGCAGAGGGAGGAGAGGGGAGGGGAGAGGGACACTCAGGCACTGAGGGGGTGGAGGGGAAAGCCTTCCGCGTGCTTCGGTTTGGCTGGCGCCTAGCCGAACTCGATAAAAGACCTTCGCTTGAAAAATGAGAAAAAAGGGTCCATTTTGAGACGCTGTAGCCATTTCCTAAAAATAGTCAGAATTGAAGATAACTCAATCAATCTGTCATTAATTATTTATTTAGGTATTTTACCCCCTTTTTTCTCCCCAATTTCGATCTTGTCTCATCGCTGCAACTCCCCAACGGGCTCGGGAGGCGAAGGTCGAGGAAGGCGTCCTCCGAAACATGACCCGCCAAACCGCGCTTCTTAACACCCGCCCGCTTAACCCGCAAGCGAGCCGCACCAATGTGTCAGAGGAAACACTGTTCAACTGATGACCGAGGACCGAGGTCAGCCTGCTGGCGCCCGCCACAAGGAGTCGCTAGAGCACGAAGAACCAAGTAAAGCCCCTCCAGCCATACCCTCCCCTAACCCGGATGACGCTGGGCCAATTGTGCGCCGCCCTATGTGTCTCTCGATCACGGGCAGTTGTGACACAGCCTGGGAATGAACCCAGGTCTGTAGTGACGCTTGGTGTACACTGTGTTGGACTACAGACACCCTGCCCTGGTCGTGGTGTACACTGTTGGGCTAGAGACACCCTGCCCTGGTCGTGGTGTACACTGTTGGGCTAGAGACACCCTGCCCTGGTCGTGGTGTACACTGTTGGGCTAGAGACACCCTGCCCTGGTCGTGGTGTACACTGTTGGGCTAGAGACACCCTGCCCTGGTCGTGGGGTACACTGTTGGGCTAGAGACACCCTGGCCGTGGTGTCCACTGTGTTGAGCTAGAGGCACCCTGGTCGTGGTATACACTGTGTTGGACTAGAGACACCCTGCCCTCGTCGTGGTGTCCACTGTGTTGGACTAGAGACACCCTGCCCTGGTCGTGGTGTACACTGTGTTGGACTAGAGACACCCTGCCCTGGTCGTGGTGTCCGCTGTGTTGGACTAGAGTCACCCCTTGAACCCTCTCGCCCTTTTATCTCTCATCGGGGGTCTTGTGTATCAGACACGACCTGCCCCAGCCAGGAGGAATACTGTTCTAGTAGCTTCTTTAAAGTGACAGGGATACTGTAGGCATGCAAGCACACAAACACTCACACACACACGCTCTCAAACCCCTATAGGATTCATGCGCAAATGTCCCTTTCAACAATGTGTCTGTGTATCCAACGAGTCATGATGGTCTAGTGTTCTAGACAGGTGCAGATGGTACAAACACCTCCTCCACACCTCCTCCATTCCAACAGTCTGCTGATAGAGACCTGGAGCCACCTCCTCCATTCCAACACTATGCTGATAGATAGAGACCTGGAGCCACCTCCTCCATTCCAACACTATGCTGATAGATAGACCTGGAGCCACCTCCTCCATTCCAACACTATGCTGATAGATAGAGACCTGGAGCCACCTCCTCCATTCCAACACTATGCTGATAGATAGAGACCTGGAGCCACCTCCTCCATTCCAACACTATGCTGATAGATAGAGACCTGGAGCCACCTCCTCCATTCCAACACTATGCTGATAGATAGAGACCTGGAGCCACCTCCTCCATTCCAACACTATGCTGATAGATAGAGACCTGGAGCCACCTCCTCCATTCCAACACTATGCTGATAGATAGAGACCTGGAGCCACCTCCTCCATTCCAACACTATGCTGATAGATAGAGACCTGGAGCCACCTCCTCCATTCCAACACTATGCTGATAGATAGAGACCTGGAGCCACCTCCTCCATTCCAACACTATGCTGATAGATAGAGACCTGGAGCCACCTCCTCCATTCCAACACTATGCTGATAGAGACCTGGTGCTTGTTGTTTTGAAATGAGGCCTGTCTGTCTGTTTGTCTGTCTGTCCACATACAGACAGAGAAGCATAACAAGCAGTAAGTCATGGTGGAACAGGTTGAATCCCAAATGGCACCCTATTCCCTTTGTAGTGCACTACTTTAGACCAGGACCCTGCTATTTGTGACTCAGACAGAGAAGCATAGCAAGCAGTAAGTAATGGAGAAACAGAGAGTCTGTGACTCTGACAGAGAAGCATAACAAGCAGTAAGTAATGGAGGAACAGAGAGTCTGTGAGTCTGACAGTAGGCCTGCTGATGTTTATGTCTGCTCTCTCTCTCTCTCTCTCTCTCTCGCTCTCTCTCGCTCTCTCTCGCTCTCTCTCGCTCTCTCTCGCTCTCTCTCGCTCTCTCTCGCTCTCTCTCTCTCTCTAGCTGCTGGAGCTCATTGCCAAGTCTCAGCTGCCCTCGCTCAGCGGAGTGGCTCAGAAGAATTACATGAACATCCTGGAGAGAGTGGTGCAGAAAGGTGAGCTGTCTTTCTCTTCTCATTCTGGGTTTCAAACTCAATCTTTCTCCCCCTCTCCCTCTTTCTCTCTTCCTCTTTCTCTCTTCATGACTTCACCTAGTTTATTATTGTGTACCTGCATACTTCCTCTTATCATGCTCAGCAACCTCAGAGACCAGGTCTGTGGAGCACTAATAAAAACAGGATGTGTAAATGTTATCAAAACCGATTGAACCATGATCTCAGTGACCAGCGTGTTTTAGTGATAGAAGATGTAATGGTGAATGACCACTACATAATGGTTCTCAGTGGAAATAATGACAGTCAGCACACAGTCCTCTGTGGTCTGATGGTGAACTAAATGTTCCTTCAGCTAAACAAAGGGTCCGGTTGTTTAGGAAATGTTCTAATCCCATTGGTAGATCTTGTGTGCAAATAGCGCTGCCAAGGGGCACAGAACACCGTGTCTATTAACTGGACTGACACAGTGTGTCCTTTTTAAATAACACATTCGTAATACAAAGTTAAGAAGTACTGTTGAAGTCCACTTCCATTGTCTTCTGAGAGTTGCTGAACATGTTTTCTTGGCCTCTCCCTCCACAGTCCTAGACGACCAGCAGAACGTTCGTCCCATCAAGGAGCTTCTCCAGACCCTGTATGTGTCTCTGTGTGGCCTGGTGCAGGATATGGGGAAGTCTGTTCTGGTGGGGAACATCAACTGTTGGGTCCACCGCATGGAGAACATCCTACAGTGGCAACAACAGCTGGACAACATTCAGATCAACAGGGTGAGTAAGACAGGCACAGTTAGTTAGTAAGGGTGAGCGCCACACTTTTTACAGGATCAAAACCAATCTGTGAAGGAAATGAAGGAATATATTAGAATGGGGAACTCTGGTCCTGGAATGCTGCAAATTTGTTTTAGACCTATGAGACCATGTAGGTGGAATCCAGCCAATCACTGATATTGACACCCCAGGACTAGAGATGCCTACCCCTTTATTAGAATGTATATAAGGAATGTGATGTTGCTGAAGGTAGAAAGGAAGTAAGCAAAAGCTTACACCCTGTGTCTGTCTCTGTGTCCCCCTCCAGCCTGTGTCTAAGGGTATGACCCTAACAGACCTGCCTGCCAGCTTGCAGCTGAACATCATGGAGCATCTGTCAGATGGCAGGGACCTGGTCAGTCTGGGACAGGTGACTCCAGACCTGGGACAGCTCACTGAGGACAGGCTGTTGTGGAAGAGGCTCTGCCAGTACCACTTCACTGACCGACAGGTAATGGTACAGACTATATATATATATATATATATATATATATATATATATATATATATATATATAGTGCCTTCGTAAAAAAAATTAAACCCAGAAATATCACATTTGCATAAGTATTCAGACCCTTTACTCAGCACTTTGTTGAAGCACTTTGGCAGCGATTACAGCCCTGAGTCTTCTTGGGTATGACGCTACAAGCTTGGCACACTTGGGGAGATTCTCCCATTCCTCTCTGCAGATCCTCTCAAGCTTTGTCAGGTTGGATGGGGAGCGTCGCTGCACAGCTATTTTCAGGTCTCTCCAGAGATGTTTGATCGGGTTCAAGTCCGGGCTCAGGCTGGGCCACTCAAGGACATTTAGAGACTTGTCCCGAAGCCACTCCTGCGTTGTCTTAGCTTTGTGCTTAGGGTCGTTGTCCTGTTGGAAGGTGAACCTTTGCCCCAGTCTGAGGTCCTGAGTGCTCTGGAGCAGGTTTTCATCAAGGATCTCTCTGTACTTTGCTCTGTTCATCTTTCCTTCGATCCTGACTAGTCTCCTAGGCCCTGCCGCTGAAAAACACCCCCACAGCATGATGCTGCCACCACCATGCTTCACCGTAGGGATGGTGCCAGGTTTCCTCCAGATGTGACACTTGGCATTCAGGCCAAAGAGTTTAATCTTGGTTTCATCAGACCAGAGAATGTTGTTTCTCATGGTCTGAGAGTCCTTTAGGTGCCATTTGGAAAACTCCAAGCTGGCTGTCATGTGCCTTTTACTGAGGAGTGGTTTCCATCTGGCCACTCTACCATAAAGGCCTGATTGGTGGAGTGCTGCAGAGATGGTTGTCCTTCTGGAAGGTTCTCCCATCTCCACAGAGGAACTCTGGAGCTCTGTCAGAGTGACCATCAGGTTGTTGGAAACCTCCCTGACCAAGGCCCTTCTCCCCCGATTGTTCAGTTTGGCAGGGCGGCCAGCTCTAGGAAGAGTCTTGGTGGTTCCATTTAAGAATGATTGAGGCCACTGTGTTCTTGGGGACCTTCAAAGCTGCAGACATTTTTTGGTACCCTTCCCCAGATATGTGCCTCGACACAATCCTGTCTCGGAGCTCTACGGACAATTCCTTTGACCTCATGGCTTGGTTTTTGCTCTGACATGCATTGTCAACTGTGGGACCTTATAGAGACAGGTGTGTGCCTTTCCAATTAATGTCCAATCAATTGAATTTACCACAGGTGGACTCCAATCAAGTTGTAGAAACATCTCAAGGATCAATTTGAGTCTCATAGCAAAGGGTATTTTTATACAAATACGGTATTTCTGTTTTTATAAATTAGCAAAAAATTCTAAAAACCTGTTTTTGCTTTGTCATTATGGGGTATTGTGTGTAGATTGATGAGGATTTTATTTTTGTTAATCAATTTTAGAATAAGGCTGTAACGTAACAAAATGTGGAAAAGGTTGAGGGGTCTGAATACTTTCTGAATGCACTGTCCCTACGCACACCATCATCACTTCTCTTCACATGCATTCATGGACAGTTTGGGTTTTCATGGTCTGATGGACTAAATGGAAGCCAGTTTTGTTTGACTGTTATGAAGCCTAATTGAACCCAGCACTGCACCACACATAGTTAAGAAGCAATCAAAACAAGCTGAATGCATCTCTTTTTGCAGTGCATATCTCAAAATCTGCTAGCATTTCACAAACAGGACAACATCTCTGATCTGATACTCAAAAGGCCATGGGAGTAAAACATGAATCAATGTTTTATATGTTTGTATATTCTCTCTGTGCAGATCCGTAAGCGTTTGATGGTGTCAGACAAGGGTCAGTTGGAGTGGAAGAAGATGTACTTTAAGCTATGTCGCTGCTACCCTGTCAGAGAGCAATACAGCGAAACCCTGCAGTTCTGCACACACTGCCACATCCTCTTTTGGAAGGTAGGTCTGGGAACTCTTCTCTATCTCTATCTCTATCTCTATCTATAACTAACACTTTCTTATTACATGGTAGTAATTAGACAGAAATACATTTTTTGTTTCTTTAGAATTAATTGACTATACTAAATTCTCTCTGTGTGGTTTCAGGATACGAACCACCCTTGCACAGCCAACAACACAGAGAGCTGCTGTAAGCCGGTTTCTCCACAAGGCTTTATCAACCTCTTCAAGTTCTGAGAGCCACACAGATCCTGAGGGACTTTGTACACACAGTACAGAACTGTTCATAGTGCAATCGATAGATTCAGACAGGCCCTGAGTTTGTGTATAGTGGTGATGGTGCATTTGATTCCTGGTCACCGTGACACTGGGGAGAGGAAGCAGTGGGGAAATCATGCAATCAAATTATTGGTTGGGAGAGCTGAGGATTCTGGGAGATGGACTTCTACAGCTGAGAACAAGTGAATGTGACAAACTGATCAAAGGGAGGTGGAACAAGAGGGGGATGAGGCGAAACAGAGTACTCTGAAGTTTATTAAATAAGTTTGGTCCTTTTTTTATTTAAATTCAAATGAAATGCACTTCTCTTCCTAGCTGAGTTATAACATGGCTACCGTAACGGCATACTAAGTTTAAACGTTTTCCAGAAAGGAAGTAAATTGCAAAAGTGAATTTGTTTAGTTTTAAATAGGGCTGTCAAACGATTAAAATAATTAATCGAGTTAATATAATTAGTAATAATTTAAGAATTTGATCAAATTTGGCCCTTAAAAACAATTTGTTAATCTTAAAAAGCAGTGCATTGAGTTATAGGCATACTATGTTTTGATTGTAAGGGAAAGAAACAAAATAATCTGTGTCAGTGTTTTTTAATGGCATTTTCACTATAAACAACACAAAAGTCACTGCTAACATACAGATATTAATGTACCCAATGTTTCAGTAGGTCTCCTCCCTCTTATCAATGTTCTTGAAGTTTAACACTTGCTCGTTTGCTACAAACAGACACATGCACTCAAGTACTGAAAGCTTCAGGCATTCCTAATGAGTGTTTTCACAATTTCTGATTGAAGGGTTGACTATAGGAAAAAAATAACTGTATCCATGGAGACAAAGAGCTTTTAAACCTGTCCAATGTTAGGACTTCCACAGAATACATTAACAACAGATCAGCCAGGTCTGAGTTCATGTAAAATACCATACAGCTATTAGATCTAGCCTGGGATACTTATCCATGTTCTTCAACATGAACTAGTCACAAGCTGCTACTACTAGAATTGGGATCATTTTCTGAACTCTTTTAACCTGAGAACTAAAACAAAAACAGTATCTAAATGGAATGGATTTCCTGTTTTGATTAAACTCATTGTGGGAAGTTAGCTAGCTAGTTCAATCAAGAGGCATTCAGCCATGGCATTGTAAACATTATTTTGGTTAGCTAGCTAACGTTAGCATAACTAGCTAACTGCTTCTGTACAAATGATGTTTTTGCTGTTTTCTAAAGAAACGCCTGGGAATGTGTTTATGGTTTAACTTGATGTACGTTTTCCTTAAACTGTTGCTCAAAGCTGTGCGCATAGCGCACCACAAGGGAGAAAGAGCGCTACTGAGATCGAGCGCACACTGACTGCGCAGAGTGACGGTGCACAGACCGTGTTGTGTGTTGCGCTTAAAACGGTCCGTGCGGAAACGCGCTCAAAAGGGTCCGTGCGGTGAACAAATGGAGATTCAATTAACCCTGTCCAATTGTTTTTTACGGCATAAAAAATGTCACGCGTTATTAACGAGTTAACTTTGACAGCCCTAGTTTTAAAACATAATTGTTTCATTTTCAAATAGAAAAAAGTAGGGAAATATATTAACTGATTTGAAGTTTGAAATTAGTTTGGCTCAATTTCAAGTAAAACTAATTTCAAAGTTTTATGTGTTTAATTTTTTTTGGAAACTCATTATTTGACTTTTTTGATGCTCTGGGAAAGTGGAGAGAGAAATCCGGCTCTAGCTTTGACATGGGGGTCACATCTTGGGAGAATGTCGTGATTTTTTTTTTTACTAAGGTGTTTTCCACTAAAGTTGACTGGTATGATATTCTTTGATATGGTGACTGCATATCTTTTCTAAATACCCCCCTTTTTTTCACTTTTATATGTTTGATATTTACAAAGGTTTTTATATGAATGTATTGTATTATGCTTGTGTGTAGTGACTAGCTGCTAATGCTTTAACATCAGAGTGTAGTATTATTACCAACGATATTACAAAGACACTGAATAGTAATAATATTAGAGATGGTGGTGAGCCCTACAAGAGCAGCTGGTGAAGAACAGGAGTGGGATGTTTTCAGATTGTGTTAACTTTGTCATCTAGGAGGCATTTATTTACAAGAAGAACTGACATGGTACTGAAGGAGCAGCTTTGAAAACCAATATATTAAAAAGCTTGAAGGACTTTAATGATTCAAAACATGTTTATTTATGGCTTCCTGCATGATGCTGCTTTTTTTTTATACCCAGATGTTTTTCTTTTCTAAATTATTTGTGTTTCTGGCATATTGAATAACCTGTGTTGATGGGTAAAGGAAGCATGATGGAACTACTTGTTGAATGGTGCAGTCTTGACTCTGGCTGCGTCCCAAATAGCACCCTATCCCCTTTATAGTGCACTATATGAGTTCTGGTCAAAAGTATTAGCGTGCCATTTGGGATGCAGCCTTAGACCCGTATTCACACTGCCTGGGCAGTAGAGTAATGTCCAATACATGCAGTGTAATTCTAATGTGTCATGTTTCTGTTCAATAAATAAACAAACTGAAAATACTTCTGATTTGTTAGCGGTCTCCATTAATATTTAGTAATTTGTCCTATGTTATTGGAATATGAATTAAATGTACTAAAGAAAATAATGAACTTAACTATTATTCTATTCTAGCCGTGATGATGATCCCAAGTTGCAACCCATGTCATACAATACTGGTATTTATCATGCAGTCAAGAATATAAAATCCCTTTTATATTGGGCTCACACAGAGAATATGATATGATCCAAAACATTTCAACATTGTTTGTTGTTCAGAATTCTGTCAGTCATAGCTCAATTACGCAATCATTTGACGACTTGACTTTACTGCAGCGTGGTCCTCTGTCCTATTCACTAGTCAGTGATGGTGCTGCAGCATGGTCCTCTGTCCTATTCACTAGTCAGTGATGGTACTGTAGCATGGTCCTCTGTCCTATTCACTGGTCAGTGATGGTGCTGCAGCATGGTCCTCTGTCCTATTCACTAGTCAGTGATGGTACTGCAGCATGGTCCTCTGTCCTATTCACTAGTCAGTGATGGTGCTGCAGCGTGGTCCTCTGTCCTATTCACTGGTCAGTGACGGTGCTGCAGCATGGTCCTCTGTTCTATTCACTAGTCAGTGATGGTGCTGCAGCATGGTCCTATTCACTGGTCAGTGATGGTACTGCAGCATGGTCCTCTGTCCTATTCACTGGTCAGTGATGGTACTGCAGCATGGTCCTCTGTCCTATTCACTAGTCAGTGATGGTACTGCAGCATAGTCCTCTGTCCTATTCACTAGTCAGTGATGGTGCTGCAGCATGGTCCTCTGTCCTATTCACTAGTCAGTGATGGTGCTGCAGCATGGTCCTATTCACTAGTCAGTGATGGTGCTGCAGCATGGTCCTCTGTCCTATTCACTAGTCAGTGATGGTACTGCAGCATGGTCCTCTGTCCTATTCACTAGTCAGTGATGGTGCTGCAGCATGGTCCTCTGTCCTATTCACTAGTCAGTGATGGTACTGCAGCATGGTCCTCTGTCCTATTCACTAGTCAGTGATGGTGCTGCAGCGTGGTCCTCTGTCCTATTCACTGGTCAGTGACGGTGCTGCAGCATGGTCCTCTGTCCTATTCACTAGTCAGTGATGGTGCTGCAGCATGGTCCTCTGTCCTATTCACTAGTCAGTGATGGTACTGCAGCATGGTCCTCTGTCCTATTCACTAGTCAGTGATGGTGCTGCAGCATGGTCCTCTGTCCTATTCACTAGTCAGTGATGGTTACTTGCAGCATGGGTCCCTCTGTCTATTCACTAGTCAGTGATGGTACTGCAGCATGGTCCTCTGTCCTATTCACTAGTCGTGATGGTACTGCAGCGTGGTCCTCTGTCCTATTCACTGGTCAGTGATGGTGCTGCAGCATGGTCCTTGTTCTATTCACTAGTCAGTGATGGTGCTGCAGCATGGTCCTATTCACTGGTCAGTGATGGTACTGCAGCATTGTCCTATCACTTCAGTGAGGCGCAGGTCCCTATTCACTAGTCAGTGATGGTGCTGCATGGTCCTCTGTCCTAAGTCAGTGTTGCTGCGCGTCCTCTATTCACTAGTCAGTGATGGTGCTGCAGCATGGTCCTCTGTCCTATTCACTAGTCAGTGATGGTACTGCAGCATGGTCCTCTGTCCTATTCACTAGTCAGTGATGGTGCTGCAGCATGGTCCTCTGTCCTATTCACTAGTCAGTGATGGTACTGCAGCATGGTCCTCTGTCCTATTCACTAGTCAGTGATGGTACTGCAGCATGGTCCTCTGTCCTATTCACTAGTCAGTGATGGTGCTGCAGCATGGTCCTCTGTCTATTCACTAGTCAGTGATGGTGCTGCAGCATGGTCCTCTGTCTATTCACTAGTCAGTGATGGTACTGCAGCATGGTCCTCTGTCCTATTCACTAGTCAGTGATGGTGCTGCAGCATGGTCCTCGTCCTATTCACTAGTCAGTGATGGTACTGCAGCATGGTCCTCTGTCCTATTCACTAGTCAGTGATGGTGCTGCAGCATGGTCCTCTGTTCCTATTCACTAGTCAGTGATGGTACTGCAGCATGGTCCTCTGTCCTATTCACTAGTCAGTGATGGTACTGCAGCATGGTCGCCTGTTCTATTCACTGGCCAGTGACGGTTGACTGAATAGGCCATAATTTTTGCATATTTCCAAATACTTTGCGTGTATGTGAAAAGAGAGTAACCAATCCACAGCAGGTTTCAAGTAAAGTTAAGATTGTATTCTTATATCTAAGCTCTTCTCTCATACGGATAAATGTAAACAAATCAAATACATTTTCACAATGTTATAACAAAAATAAATATATTTCTAACATTCAATTAAATCAACTGTGATAATTCAAGTATATAAACATGCTATAAATAAACATCAGTCAGTAAAGCAGAGATTTTACAGGAGGTAAGTGTCTTAGTTGGCCACAGAGCTCTGGTCAAAAGTAGTGCACTATTACATTTACATTTTAGTCATTTAGCAGACGCTCTTATCCAGAGCAACTTACAGTTAGTGAGTGCATACATTTTCATACTGGCCCCCCGTGGGAAACGAACCCACAACCTTGGCGTTGCATGCGCCATGCTCTACCAACTGAGCTACAGGGGACTGGGGAATAGGGTGGCATTTTAAACATACGTCCAGTGTTGTTAACGACAGCGGTCGGCTACCAATACTTGCTAGTCGATTAAAAGACCCATTTGTCATGAAGTGCATTTGCTAACCCAATGAGGTGCTGTTCACAGCAGCGTGTAACATTTGCTAACCCAGTGAGGTACTGTTCACAGCAGCGTGTAAAATTTGCTAACCCAATGAGGTGCTGTTCACAGCAGCGTGTAACATTTGCTAACCCAGTGAGGTACTGTTCACAGCAGCGTGTAACATTTGCTAACCCAATGAAGTGCTGTTCACAGCAGCGTGTAACATTTGCTAACCCAATGAAGTGCTGTTCACAGCAGCGTGTAACATTTGCTAACCCAATGAGGTGCTGTTCACAGCAGCGTGTAACATTTGCTAACCCAATGAGGTGCTGTTCACAGCAGCGTGTAACATTTGCTAACCCAATGAGGTGCTGTTCACAGCAGCGTGTAACATTTGCTAACCCAATGAGGTGCTGTTCACAGCAGCGTGTAACATTTGCGAACCCAGTGAGGTGCTGTTCACAGCAGCGTGTAACATATCACCCTGATCTTTAGAGTAAAGTTGTTCTCTCCATGTTAGATAGAAATCAAGAAGCATGTGCGATCAGCATAGGTATAATTAGCCAATGAAGTTTATGTCTGAAAATTGATATTTTTTTACTGCATTGTTAGCTGTATTGTAGTTTTCCTTTAATATATATACCCTATAAATCCTAGACTATCTACGTGCAAAGAAATATCCATTGTGTTCAAAATGTCAAAGAAACTCTCTTGTTTAAATACTACTAGACACCATTCACATGTTTGTGATAGATTCCTGGAAGAACCTCCCTTAATAAGAGAATGTTGTATGCATACTTCATACAGTGTACGGCAGTAGATCATTTCCATAGAAAAATACCATCAGCATTTCATATGGAGAATGACGTTTTGTAGCTTGTTTATGTGATTCACATGTTAGAGTGTGGGGGGGGGGGTGTTATATCTACACTACGTGTGCATCCCAAATGGCACCCTATTCCCTATACAGCACTACTTTTGACCAGAGAGGGAATATGGTGCCATTTGGGCTGCAGCCTAGATTTTACATTTACATTTTAGTCATTTAGCAGACGCTCTTATCCAGAGCGACTTACAGTTAGTGAGTGCATACATTTTTCATACTGCCCCCCCCCCGTTCATACAACTATCATACACCTATGTATCCAATCAATATCCTACTGGACATCAACGTTGGCCTCAATCCCTCAGTAGGGATATCTTTCTGTGGAAGGATCAATGATCAAAGTCTTTATGATGATATATTAATAACCCTTATGTTTCAATTGATTGTTGACTTGACAGCCAGCAACATTCTTTCTGGGAATAGAGAAGCTTCAGGGGGTCCTGATGAACACCAGTACTGGAACTCTTCACTGTATTCCATAGGGATGGATGAGATTCATGAGCTTCCAGTGCAGTACATATAATCCATGTGTTCACTGGCTGTTCCAGGAAGAGGGTTCAGATGCCCCCTTATGAAGCCTGGGCACCAGGGAGTGTTCAGATGCCCCTTATGAAGCCTGGGCACCAGGGAGTGTTCAGATGGCCCCTTATGAAGCCTGGGCACCAGGGAGTGTTCAGATGCCCCCTTATGAAGCCTGGGCACCAGGGAGTGTTCAGATGGCCCCTTATGAAGCCTGGGCACCAGGGAGTGTTCAGATGCCCCTTATGAAGCCTGGGCACCAGGGAGTGTTCAGATGGCCCCTTATGAAGCCTGGGCACCAGGGAGTGTTCAGATGCCCCTTATGAAGCCTGGGCACCAGGGAGTGTTCAGATGCCCCCTTATGAAGCCTGGGCACCAGGGAGTGTTCAGATGGCCCCTTATGAAGCCTGGGCACCAGGGAGTGTTCAGATGCCCCTTATGAAGCCTGGGCACCAGGGAGTGTTCAGATGCCCCTTATGAAGCCTGGGCACCAGGGAGTGTTCAGATGCCCCCTTATGAAGCCTGGGCACCAGGGAGTGTTCAGATGCCCCTTATGAAGCCTGGGCACCAGGGAGTGTTCAGATGCCCCTTATGAAGCCTGGGCACCAGGGAGGGTTCAGATGCCCCTTATGAAGCCTGGGCACCAGGGAGTGTTCAGATGCCCCTTATGAAGCCTTAGCACCAGGGCGGGTTGTGATGGCCCCTATGAAGCCTGGGCACCAGGGAGTGTTCAGATGCCCCTTATGAAGCCTGGGCACCAGGGAGTGTTCAGATGCCCCCTTATGAAGCCTGGGCACCAGGGAGTGTTCAGATGCCCCTTATGAAGCCTGGGCACCAGGGCGGGTTGTGATGGCCCCTATGAAGCCTGGGCACCAGGGCGGGTTGTGATGGCCCCTATGAAGCCTGGGCACCAGGGCGGGTTGTGATGCCCAGCTGCCATGTGGGAGGTATGGCTGGGCTGGCTGCTTGGTGTAGGATGATATAGTCCCTGATCATGTATTCTACCCTCTACAGCCCTCTGATTGGCCCTTCCTGCAGGCAACAATAGCAGAAGTGTTATTATCAAACCGACAGAAAGTAGTTGACAGGCTTTCAAGTTTTCATTTCATTGCTCAAAGTATTTGATCTTGCGTGGTCCTAACTTTCAAGATGGAAGAACTGGAATGGAAAAGAAAAGCACAGAGATAATGCCATTGGCTGAATAAACCGTACAGCAGCATGCATGCTAAGCTAGGCCAGAGAAGAGAAGAGTAGAGTAGTTACCAGAGTTAGTACAGGTCACATAGAGGGACGTTCTCCCTTTCAGAGTTCTGAATGATCCACTCAATAGCATCCCAACCCTATACAGACAGAGGGAAGGACAGGAAAGGCCTTAGATAAAGCATTCCAACTCTTAGGTTCGGACTTATTTCAGAGAAGACATGCGAAGTCAGCCACACAGAGACGTTTAATGATAGTTTGGTCCATGGACCATCTCTCTTCACAGTCAAGAAAGCATAAAGGAAACGCTGCATGCAGAAAATGCTCCAGAAATATTACATCAGTAATATTAAGCAGATTCTGTAGAGTAACTTATTATAACAGTACCTTTCTGGCGTTAGCTGACATCCTGAGGGCCATCATTCCCTCCAGGTAGCTGCTCAAACTGACTCCTTTTACTGTGATGATGGCCTCCTGGGTCAGAACAGTACTGAGAGGGACAAAGGAGGGGTGGAGGGGGGAACAAGATAGTTAGAACAGTACTGAGAGGGACAGAGGAGGGATGGAGGGTGGAACAAGATAGTCAGAACAGTACTGAGAGGGACAGAGGAGGGATGGAGGGTGGAACAAGATAGTCAGAACAGTACTGAGAGGGACAGGGGAGGGATGGAGGGTGGAACAAGATAGTCAGAACAGTACTGAGAGGGACAGAGGAGGGATGGAGGGGGGAACAAGATAGTTAGCTGCTGTACAAGTAAAGATTCAAATGAGGTAAGGGGAAAACGACACCTGTCTCAGTGAATTCTGTGTGGTTTGTAACTTAAAGTCTCTGTGTGCCTGCATTCACTCTTATGACAAGTGGGTGTTATACATGTGTTATAAAACCATACTAGGTTGTTATAAATGTGTCATCAAATCATACCAGGTTGTTATAAATATAAATGTGTTATAATACTAGGTTGTTATAAATGTGTTATCATGCTAGGTTGTTATGAATGTGTTATCATGCTAGGTTGTTATACATGTGTTATCATGCTAGGTTGTTATAAATGTGTTATCATACTAGGTTGTTATAAATGTGTTATCACGCTAGGTTGTTATAAATGTGTTATCATGCTAGGTTGTTATGAATGTGTTATCATGCTAGGTTGTTATAAATGTGTTATCATGCTAGGTTGTTATAAATGTGTTATCATGCTAGGTTGTTATAAATGTGTTATCATGCTAGGTTGTTATAAATGTGTTATCATGCTAGGTTGTTTGAATGTGTTATCGTGCTAGGTTGTTATAAATGTGTTATCATGCTAGGTTGTTATAAATGTGTTATCATGCTAGGTTGTTATAAATGTGTTATCATGCTAGGTTGTTATAAATGTGTTATCATGCTAGGTTGTTATAAATGTGTTATCATGCTAGGTTGTTATAAATGTGTTATCGTGCTAGGTTGTTATAAATGTGTTATCATGCTAGGTTGTTATGAATGTGTTATCATGCTAGGTTGTTATAAATGTGTTATCATGCTAGGTTGTTATACATGTGTTATCATGCTAGGTTGTTATAAATGTGTTATCATGCTAGGTTGTTATAAATGTGTTATCATACTAGGTTGCTATAAATGATTTATTATACTAGGTTGTTATAAATGTGTTATCACGCTAGGTTGTTATAAATGTGTTATCACACTAGGTTATTATGAATGTGTTATGCTAGGTTGTTATAAATGTGATATCATGCTAGGTTGTTATCAATGTGTTATCATGCTAGGTTGATATAAATGTGTTATCATACTAGGTTGATATAAATGTGTTATCATACTAGGTTGTTATAAATGTGTTATCATGCTAGGTTGTTATAAATGTGTTATCATGCTAGGTTGTTATAAATGTGTTATCATGCTAGGTTGTTATAAATGTGTTATCATGCTAGGTTGTTATAAATGTGTTATCGTGCTAGGTTGTTATAAATGTGTTATCATGCTAGGTTGTTATACATGTGTTATCATGCTAGGTTGTTATAAATGTGTTATCATGCTAGGTTGTTATGAATGTGTTATCATGCTAGGTTGTTATAAATGTGTTATCTCGCTAGGTTGTTATAAATGTGTTATCATCCTAGGTTGCTATAAATGTGTTATCATGCTAGGTTGCTATAAATGAGTTATTACACTAGGTTGTTATAAATGTGTTATCATAATAATAATAATAATAATATGCCATTTAGCAGACGCTTTTATCCAAAGCGACTTACAGTCATGCGTGCATACATTTATTTGTGTATGGGTGGTCCCGGGGATCGAACCCACAACCTTGGCGTTACAAGCGCCGTGCTCTACCAGCTGAGCTACAGAGGACCACATGCTAGGTTGTTATGAATGTGTTATCATGCTAGGTTGTTATAAATGTGTTATCATGCTAGGTTGTTATAAATGTGTTATCTTACTAGGTTATTATAAATGTGTTATCACGCTAGGTTATTATAAATGTGTTATCACGCTAGGTTGTTATAAATGTGTTATCACGCTAGGTTATTATGAATGTGTTATCATGCTAGGTTGTTATAAATGTGTTATCATGCTAGGTTGTTATAAATGTGTTATCATGCTAGGTTGTTATACATGTTTTATCATGCTAGATTGTTATGAATGTGTTATCATGCTAGGTTGTTATCAATGTGTTATCATGCTAGGTTGATATAAATGTGTTATCATACTAGGTTGTTATAAATGTGTTATCATGCTAGGTTGTTATAAATGTGTTATCATACTAGGTTGTTATAAATGTGTTATTATACTAGGTTGTTATAAATGTGTTATCATGCTAGGTTGTTATACATGTGTGATCATGCTAGGTTGTTATAAATGTGTTATCATGCTAGGTTGTTATAAATGTGTTATCATACTAGGTTGCTATAAATGATTTATTATACTAGGTTGTTATAAATGTGTTATCACGCTAGGTTGTTATAAATGTGTTATCACACTAGGTTATTATGAATGTGTTATCATGCTAGGTTGTTATAAATGTGTTATCATGCTAGGTTGTTATACATGTGTTATCATGCTAGGTTGTTATAAATGTGTTATCATGCTAGGTTGTTATAAATGTGTTATCATGCTAGGTTGTTATAAATGTGTTATCATGCTAGGTTGTTATACATGTGTTATCATGCTAGGTTGTTATAAATGTGTTATCATGCTAGGTTGTTATGAATGTGTTATCATGCTAGGTTGTTATAATGTGTTATCTCGCTAGGTTGTTATAAATGTGTTATCATCCTAGGTTGCTATAAATGTGTTATCATGCTAGGTTGCTATAAATGAGTTATTACACTAGGTTGTTATAAATGTGTTATCATGCTAGGTTGTTATGAATGTGTTATCATGCTAGGTTGTTATAAATGTGTTATCATGCTAGGTTGTTATAAATGTGTTATCATGCTAGGTTGTTATACATGTTTTATCATGCTAGATTGTTATGAATGTGTTATCATGCTAGGTTGTTATCAATGTGTTATCATGCTAGGTTGATATAAACGTGTTATCATACTAGGTTGTTATAAATGTGTTATCATGCTAGGTTGTTATGATTGTGTTATCATACTAGGTTGTTATAAATGTGTTATCATACTAGGTTGTTATAAATGTGTTATCATACTAGGTTGTTATAAATGTGTTATCATACTAGGTTGTTATAAATGTGTTATTATACTAGGTTGTTATCAATGTGTTATCATGCTAGGTTGATATAAATGTGTTATCATACTAGGTTGTTATAAATGTGTTATCATGCTAGGTTGTTATGAATGTGTTATCATACTAGGTTGTTATAAATGTGTTATCATACTAGGTTGTTATAAATGTGTTATCATACTAGGTTGTTATAAATGTGTTATCATACTAGGTTGTTATAAATGTGTTATTATACTAGGTTGTTATAAATGTGTTATCATGCTAGGTTGTTATAAATGTGTTATCATGCTAGGTTGTTATAAATGTGTTATCATGCTAGGTTGTTATAAATGTGTTATCATGCTAGGTTGTTATAAATGTGTTATCATGCTAGGTTGTTATAAATGTGTTATCATGCTAGGTTGTCGCTGTGTTTCTACTTACACCTCTGGGTTGTCTGGGTGAGGTCTGTAAACCAGTCTTTCATCCACTGACACCAGATTGGTTAGAGTTATCTGCGGGATGAAAAAGACAAGAAGTTGTATGAAACTTTCATGAAGATACCAACTATGGAGGACTAAAAGTGCCACAATTAATAATAATACACCATAAATAATTACTTACATTATACAATTAATTTAAAATGTTTTATTATTAAATTAGATATCAGTATTTATTAAATGTGTCATTATTAATATGAGCTCGATCTTTGTAAAACAATGAAATATTTCACATTTCATTTACTTTCTGGTCCTGCGTGGAGGTGCTTCCGAATACTAAAACTGTCAAAACTGACCCGACCAAAAGTTGGTAGGGCGGGAACTCTAACGCCTGTTGGTACCCCTGCACAAGCCAAGACAATCATTCCGGCCTAAGGTTGATGCAGACAGCTACTGAACACATTCCTACACACTGGGTGGCGCTATCCACCTCTACTTGTTTAGGGGGGGAAGCATAAACCTAGCTAGTTCGCTAATCGGCTAAATGGTGTTAGCTGGCTTGAGCATCCCAAGATAGAAGTAGAGGCTGTTTTAGCTGACTGGTGACCATTGAGCTGTTACGTTTTTCTGTGTTGCAGCGGAGGTAGCAAGGCTCTTTGCGCCATATAACATTGGAGCCAGAAGGAATATGACGAGACGACCAGCACAAGTCCAAGTTAGCCGAAGAAGCTACACACACACTGTCTGTTGTTTGGCTGACCACAATGCGGATAAAATTCCAAGCGTACTGTTTAAAGCTGAACTTCTTACTTCAGGACTTGGAGAGCAAAAAGTAACATTTTCAGGTCAGTGCGAAACTAGGCATTTACCAAAAGTAAAAAAAGTTTGTACTGTCTGTGGCTTGTTGAAATTATTTGCATTTCTTTTTATAGTGACTCAAACTTAATTGGTGTTCATAGTGTCAATAATAGTTATCACAGGCTTATTTGCTTAATTTAAGGTGAGGTGAGTTATGATTTTGTTTTGTTTTTTTCTCCAGGGAATGACCACGATCCCATGGTTATAACAAATAAACTGATGGAAGTGTTTCCGAAGCTCCAACAAGGGGGAGGCTTTGAATTTCTAAAACTTGTAGGATCTACTCGCAGTCGAAATCTTGCGTTGCTTCAGTGTCCCAGCACTGGATACACCCTTGCCTATCTGAAAGATCCATCGACGATGATTGGACAGGCTACAATCTACATACGTCCACTTCAACAGGATCTACCCTTAGATTGTGTACATACATTTACAGAGACTTAGTTTAATACATAATCAAAACAAAGATTACTGGTGACTTTTAATCATTAATTAAAAGCCATTTGTTGTTGTTGTTGTTAGGAGAGCTCACGTCCTGCCTCTGGTCCAGTCATCCCCTGCATCACTTGTCAGAAGGAAGTTCCCTTTTCAGAGATGAAGCTGCACAGATTGAGCTGCAATGGGTATGTACTTCTTAAAGCAATGCAAGGGTAGCATAATTTATTTTCTTTGGGAATATGTCTCTCTTATTGTTGTGCACACAAATAAGCGAGTATGACCATCATTTCAATTGTGTTAACTTCAAGGACACCCATGCAGGAATCAGAAAGAGAACAAGAGGGAGGCCAAAGTGAAGAAAATGATAGTGAGACAGCCCTAGTCAGTGACAGTGTTCCAGTGAGGCCTGAAACATCAGCTGAGAGTGCAGTAGTACCGGCAGTGATTGTCAACGAGGAGTTGGATCGCAAAGAAACAGACAGTGGTTTGTGTCATCACAATAGTGTTGCTATAAGATTGTGTGTAACTGAAAAGTTAATAGAAAGATAACACCTGTAGGATATAATTCGATAAGATAATACAGTTACAGACAATTAATAACATGCAACTGGGTTTTTCTATTTTTCTAATATTTAGTTGTAGTTGTTTAGTAGTGCTGTTTTTATGTCAACTCAGCGTTGTGACAGGTTCTGAAGATGTTGGGTCTCACGTTTTGTCAGTGAAATGAACAGAATTTTCCTCCTGTTCTGTAGAGTGAGAGGATATCTGTATATGCAGGTAACATGCCAACTCACAATATGTCTCTCTGTAATAGATAACTTTATTGTTGTTGTTTGTTTAGAATGGAAGCTTATTAAAGAACCCACTCAAGCTGCCAAAGTTTTCAAAGAGAATCTGCTAAGGGAACATGCAACTGGGAAACCACTTAGAATGAAGATGGATGTAAGGGACTCTGAAGAGGACAGGGAACGGGAGCTTCTCTTATTCTATAAACAGCAGCAAGAATGGGCATGTCCACTTCATTGTACTCTGGTTGGTAAGTAATATAACATTTATAATATAAATACATCAGTACAGTTTATACCACTCAAGTAGCTTATATGGAATTGTTAAATGGGAGAATGGAATGCACAAAATTATATAATTGATAAAAATGTTATATGTATGTATGTGAATATTGTGCACAATATACTCTTGTTATCTGGAATAATCAATATTAAGGATGCTATTCTAGAATTACAGCCAATAGAAGTTTTTCTCCCTTTCTTGTTAAATGTTACCAAATCCAGTTACCTGTATTAGGCCGCCACTTTTTTTCCAGTGTTATTATCAGTATTTTATTTCAGGTGATGTTGCTATCGGAGAGGGAGTGATGCGGTACTTTATGACAACAATCATATCCAAACTCCAGTTTGGATTCAGTCTAGATCTTGGTAAGTATCTTACTAATTTTTTGAAGGTTAATCCATCTATAAATTGCAGAAATGTCTGTCTGTAGCGCATGTCTCTCAGTTAGTCCGATGGATTTCAAACTTGACAGGTGTCTTGCTCTGGTCACGAGTAAGTGCAGTGCCAAGTTTGACGACGTTTGGATAAACGCAAAAGATAGCGTTACATATATAGGTAAAAGAAGCACACATTGGCTTTTGCCGCTCTTGCTGCTTGCCATTCTCACACTGCATGCAACGCTGACTGAGCACCTGTTTGTGTCGTGACTCACTCTACACCGCCTCTCTCTATGCGCGCGCACACACACACACGCGTACACGTACGTTCTGGTGGTTGATGAACGCGGATATGTGCTGTTTAGCGGAGGGCCGGTGGGCAATGTTTTGTGTCAGGTAAGTCTGTAGTAGGGTATACAGGGGAATTGAATTTGAAGTGGTTTGGGGTCCTTCTGTAAGTCATTTTGGAGTAGGCTACAATTTGGTTTAAGTGAATTCTACAAGCAGCAATACCACAGGCCAAGTAATCGCCACTAGTATGATGTAATATATCTATCTATCTATCTATCTATCTATCTATCTATCATACATTTTTATTTAATGTATTTAAGAGGTTAATTGTTGTGACTTTATTCCCTGCTCTCTTGGTACTTTACAGGAGGAATGGGCCGAACACTGCTATTTGAGGGTGAACCTGACCATCTTGTTCCAGCAGCATCAGAGGCACTTATTGAAAGCAACCTCTTCCGGGTTGCAGGAAGGATGTTGGGCCACACCTTTCTGCATGATGGTCCCCATGTCACAGGACTAAGTCCTGCTGTAATTCATGTACTGTTCAATGGGGACCCTGAAATGGCTACTGTTGTTACAGAAGACTGTCCTGATCTGCACATCAGGAGCATCATAGAACTGGTATGTAACCTAAAAGAAACTTTGCCATGTAAAAAATATTGCTTGGGCAGATATAATAACTTGTATGGTCTTAATTCTAGCTTGAACATGAAGATCTTACACCGGAACAGAAGGACACAGTTTCAGATCTTTCCATGTCTTGGGATCTTCCGGAATTGACACAAGTTCAGTGTCTTTGAAAACATTAACACACTGTGCAGTAGTTGACTTTTTTTTCTTCCATTTACTAAAATCAAACTGTTCTGCACCTTCAGTGCTAACAGTACAGCATTCATGTTAGTCATTCTGTGGACCATAATGAGACAGGAAGCTTCAAAGAAACAGCTTTTTTTTCTTTCTTTTAAAAGGAAAGTAAACTTTCAGTTTTTCCTTGCTTGTTCTAACACAACAAATAAAAACATGGGTTGGACATCAGTCTAAGATTCTTGATAACACTTCCACAGTCTCTACATATAGTCTAAGTGCATCAGTAACAGAAACTCCTGGAGCTGGCAAAATTGCAACCTCTTCATCTGAGAGCTCACGGGCCAGCTGAACCTCGGGGACTGACACAGTGCCTCGATGAAGGCAGTGAGGTCCGTTCCAATCGATCCCATATTCTTCAGGAACCTGAATGGATGACAAGCATAATCAGTCTTGTACTTAAAACTAGTTTGACATGTCCTTACACAAGATTGTTATTTTTGGTCACCAAGGCAGTGAGAAATGAAATGTTACTTATTCAGTTTTTTAAAATAATACAGCTTTGCATAGTATGCACTGTAGAAACTACAGCTCACAGGTTGATCTTTAAAAGCTCGGGAGATTTTAAAGAGACAATAATCTATAGTAAATGTTTCATTTAAAGTATCTATATACACATACATACATACATACATATACATACATATATTTATATATATATATATACATACACACATATATATACACATATACATATATATACACATATACATATATATACACACACATATATATATATATAGATAGATAGATAGATAGATAGATAGATAGATAGATACCACATGCTCGAACAGAGATGACCTGAGATTTTTTGCCTCCTATGATATTTTGCTTTTCTATGATTATATTATACCCTTTACAGCAGGGGCACATCCGGACAGCTGAGAATATTACTGTCAGATATTGTTCCACCTCTATTAAACAGGAGGCTAAAAATCACAGGACATGTCTATCCTGATGATACAAGTCAGCCGTCCTGAAATGTGTGTTTCTCTTCACATTTCTTCTACACATTCTACATCTCAGAGGCGATGTCTTTCCATAAGCGGGCTTCCTTCACCTTTCAAAGGGGCAGAGCTCCAAATTAAAAATACATTTAAATAATGCCCATATTATTATCTACTCACTTGGAACATGCACACCTCTTGCATTCAGGTGACCACGCATTAGCTTGTAGCCGGTGTTTGGATGACTTCTGTGAATTTCACTTACAATACGGTCTAACTCCTCATCATTCACAGCTGAATAGAGATCTGTCTTTCTGTACAAACAAGAAAAACACAACATCAAGTAATGTTACCTTAAACGTCATATTCTTTCCGAGTGTATGAGAGCAGCAATTCATAAACAGAAAACTCATGAATTTAGTGTAAATACCTTAAACTGTATTGTTGCATGCGCCTCCTGATGGTCCTCTTTGACACACCGAACATCGCTGCAATTTGAACTGCGGGAACTCCACAAAGAAGTTGATGCTCCAGAACTGCACTCGGTATGTCAAACGCCAAACGCCCCGGTCGCTGTGTGTGTTGGGCCTGAAGTGCCCTGGTACCAGAGAAGCGGTGGACAACTTCTTCTAGATTTGCAATCACTCTGTGGTCGATATCTTCGTCGGAAAGTGCGGAAATGACTCCAACAACTTCAATAAGTTCCTCTGCTTTACTAGCTACATGCTCTGGGTCAGCAGGTCCTGCTTCTACATCCTCTGCTAAGTTTAAAATGTCTCTAACCAACTCCCTGGAAAGTTCACGGAGATCCTCCATTGTCTCTATCCGGGTTGGCCTACTCTACTTCAGACCAAAGCAATGGATCAGACTAGATTCGCGTTAGCCCCGCCCACTGACTTTGATGGGTCAGTTTGACAGTTTTAAGTAATTCATGAATCACTGCAATGCAGGATCATGAAATGTAAATGTAAATAGTGAAATAATTATATATGTATTTTACATAAAATGAATCGGTATTTGAATTAATTAATGATACATTTAATTACACATTTATGTATTTAATTCTAATTTTAATTAATTAATGACACATTTAAGTAATTATTTAATGGTGTATTTATTTATTTAATTGTGGCACTTTTAGTCCTCCATAACCAACAACAGAAACATGATTATACAAAAGAAGGGACCGCTTTCAACTCACATTTGTTGAATAAAGCTCCATCTTTTTCTCCTCCGGATCCACGATGGAGTGCTCCTTGACGTAGGTCTGGGTATGACTGGTCCCCAAGATCTACAAGAGAAACATTCAGGTGAGTCTATATACATATATACAGTATATATATACAGTACCAGTCAAAAGTGTGGACACACCTACTCATTCCAGGGTTTTTCTTATTTTTACTATTTTCTACATTGTAGAATAATAGTGAAGACCTCAAAACTATGAAATAACACATATGGAATCATGTAGTAACCAAAAAAGTGTTTAACAAATCAAAATATATGTGAGATTCTTCAAAGTAGCCACCCTTTGCCTTGATGACAGCTTTGCACACTCTTGGCATTCTCTCAACCAGCTTCATGAGGTAGTCACCTGGAATGCATTTCAATTGTGTGCCTTGTTAAAAGTTAATTTGTGGAATTTCTTTCCTTCTTAATGCGTTTGAGCCAATCAGTTGGGTTGTGACAAGGTAGGGGTGATATACAGAAGATAGCCCTATTTGGAAAAAGTACATATTATGGCAAAAACAGCTAAAATAAGCAAAGAGAAACGACAGTCCATCATTACTTTAAGACATGAAGGTCAGTCAATACGGAAAAGTTTATTCAAGTGCAGTCGCAAAAAACATCAAGCGCTATGATGAAACTGGCTCTCGTGAGGACTGCCACAGGAAAGGAAGACCCAGAGTTACCTCTGCTGCAGAGGATAAGTTCATTAAAGTTACCAGCCTCAGAAATCGGCAATTAACTGCACCTCAGATTGCAGCCCAAATAAATGCTTCACAGAGTTCAAGTAACAGACACATCTCAACATCAACTGTTCAGAGGAGACTGCATGAATCAGGCCTTCATGGTCAAATTGCTGCAAAGAAACCACTACTAAAGGACACCAATAAGAAGAAGAGACTTGCTTGGGCGAAGAAACACGAGCAATGGACATTAGGCCGGTGGAAATCCGTTCTTTGGTCTAATGAGTCCAAATTTGAGATTGTTGGTTCCAACCGCTGTGTCTTTGTGAGACACAGAGTAAGTGAATGGATGATCTCTGCATGTGTGGTTCCCACCGTGAAGCATGGAGGAGGAGGTGTGATGGTGTGGGGGTGCATTGCTGGTGACACTGTCAGTGATTTATTTAGAATTCAAGGCACAGCTAACCAGCATGTCTACCACAGCATTCTGCAGCGATATCCCATCTGGTTTGCACTTAGTGGGACTATCATTTGTTTTTTCAACAGGACAATGACCAAAAACACACCTCCAGGCTGTGTAAGGGCTATTTGACCAAGGAGAGTGATGGAGTGCTGCGTCAGATGACCTGGCCTCCACAATCACCCAACTTCAACCCAATTGAGATGGTTTGGGATGAGTTGGACCGCAGAGTGAAGGAAATGCAGCCAACAAGTGCTCAGCATATGAGGGAACTCCTTCAAGAGTGTTGGATAAGCATTCCTCATGAAGCTGGTTGAGAGAATGCCAAGAGTGTGCAAAGCTGTCATCAAGGCAAAGGGTGGATATTTGAAGAATCTCAACTATAAAATATATAGTAAAACTAAAGAACAACCCTTGAATGAGTAGGTGTGTCCAAACTTTTGACTGGCACTGTATAGTTATAGTATTCAACCCCTTGGCATTTTTCCTATTTTGTTGCGTTACAACCTGGAATTAAAATGGATTTGGGGGGGGGTTGTATCATTTGATTTACACAACATGCCTACCACCTTGAAGATGCAAAATATTTTTTTTTGTGAAATAAGACAGAAAAACTGAAACCTTGAGTATGCATAACTATTCAACCCCCCAAAGTCAATACATTGTAGAGCCACCTTTTGAAGCAATTACAGCTGCAAGTCTCTTGGGGTATGTCTCTATAAGCTTGGCACATCTAGCCACTGGGATGTTTGCCCATTCTTCAAGGCAAAACTGCTCCAGCTCCTTCAAGATGGATGGGTTCTGCTGGTGTACAGCAACCTTTAAGTCATACCACAGATTCTCAATTGGATTGAGGTCTGGGCTTTGACTAGGCCATTTCAAGACATGTAAATGTTTCCAATTAAACCACTTGAGTATTGCTTTAGCAGTATGCTTAGGGTCATTGTCCTGCTGGAAGGTGAACCTCAGTCCCAGGCTCAAATCTCTGGAAGACTGAAACAGGTTTCCCTCAAGAATTTCCCTGTATTTAGCGCCATCCATCATTAATTCAATTCTGACCAGTTTCCCAGTCCCTGCAGATGAAAAACATCCCCACAGCATGATGCTGCCACCACCATGCTTCATTGTGGGGATGGTGTTCTCGGGGTGATGAGAGGTGTTGGGTTTACGCCAGACAAAGCATTTTCCTTGATGGCTAAAAGCTCAATTTGAGTCTAATCTGAACAGAGTACCTTATTCCATTTGTTTGGGGAGTCTCCCACATGCCTTTTGGTGAACACCAACGTGTTTGCTTATTTTTTTCTTTAAGCAATGGCTTTTTTTTTGGCCACTCTTCCATAAAGCCCAGCTCTGTGGAGTGTACGGCTTAAAGTGGTCCTATCGACAGATACTCCAATCTCCGCTGTGGAGCTTTGCAGCTCCTTCAGGGTTTCCTTTGGTCTCTTTGTTGACTCTCTGATTAATGCCCTCCTTGCCTGGTCCGTGAGTTTTGGTGGGCGGCCCTCTCTTGGCAGGTTTGTTGTGGTGCCATATTCTTTCCATTTGTTAATAATGGATTTATTGGTGCTCCGTGGGATGTTCAAAGTTTCAGATATTTTTTTTATAACCCAACCCTGATCTATACTTCTCCATAACTTTGTCCCTAACCTGTTTGGAGAGCTCCTTGGTCTTCATGGTGCCGCTTGCTTGGTGGTGCCCCTTGCTTAGTGGTGTTGCAGACTCTGGGGCCTTTCAGAACAGGTGTATATATATTGAGATCATGTGACAGATCATGTGACACTTAGATTGCACACAGGTGGACTTTATTTAACTAATTATGTGACTTCTGAAGGTAATTGGTCGCACCAGATCTTATTTAGGGGCTTCATAGCAAAGGGGGTGAATACATACAGTGGGGAAAAAAGTATTTAGTCAGCCACCAATTGTGCAAGTTCTCCCACTTAAAAAGACGAGAGAGGCCTGTAATTTTCATCATAGGTACACGTCAACTATGACAGACAAAATGAGAAAAAAAATCCAGAAAATCACATTGTAGGATTTTTAATGAATTTATTTGCAAATTATGGTGGAAAATAAGTATTTGGTCAATAACAAAAGTTTCTCAATACTTTGTTATATACCCTTTGTTGGCAATGACACAGGTCAAATGTTTTCTTCACAAGGTTATCACACACTGTTGCTGGTATTTTGGCCCATTCCTCCATGCAGATCTCCTCTAGAGCAGTGATGTTTTGGGGCTGTCGCTGGGCAACTCCCTCCAAAGATTTTCTATGGGGTTGAGATCTGGAGACTGGCTAGGCCACTCCAGGACCTTGAAATGCTTCTTACGAAGCCACTCCTTCGTTGCCCGGGCGGTGTGTTTGGGATCATTGTCATGCTGAAAGACCCAGCCACGTTACATCTTCAATGCCCTTGCTGATGGAAGGAGGTTTTCACTCAAAATCTCACGATACATGGCCCCATTCAATCTTTCCTTTACACGGATCAGTCGTCCTGGTCCCTTTGCAGAAAAACAGCCCCAAAGCATGATGTTTCCACCCCCATGCTTCACAGTAGGTATGGCGTTCTTTGGATGCAACTCAGCATTCTTTGTCCTCCAAACACGACGAGTTGAGTTTTTACCAAAAAGTTATATTTTGGTTTCATCTGACCATATGACATTCTCCCAATCCTCTTCTGGATCATCCAAATGCACTCTAGCAAACTTCAGACGGCCTGGACATGTACTGGCTTAAGCAGGGGGACACGTCTGGCACTGCAGGATTTGAGTCCCTGGCGGCGTAGTGTGTTACTGATGGTAGGCTTTGTTACTTTGGTCCCAGCTCTCTGCAGGTCATTCACTAGGTCCCCCCGTGTGGTTCTGGGATTTTTGCTCACCGTTCTTGTGATCATTTTGACCCCACGGGGTGAGATCTTGCGTGGAGCCCCAGATCGAGGGAGATTCTTAAAGAAGAAGTATGTCTTCCATTTCCTAATAATTGCTCCCACAGTTGATTTCTTCAAACCAAGCTGCTTACCTATTGCAGATTCAGTCTTCCCAGCCTGGTGCAGGTCTACCATTTTGTTTCTGGTGTCCTTTGACAGCTCTTTGGTCTTGGCCATAGTGGAGTTTGGAGTGTGACTGTTTGAGGTTGTGGACAGGTGTCTTTTATACTGACAACAAGTTCAAACAGGTTCCATTAATACAGGTAACGAGTGGAGGACAGAGGAGCCTCTTAAAGAAGAAGTTACAGGTCTGTGAGAGCCAGAAATCTTGCTTGTTTGTAGGTGACCAAATACTTATTTTCCACCATAATTTGCAAATAAATTCATTAAAAATCCTACAATATGATTTTCTGGAGAGAAAAAAATCTCCATTTGTCTGTCACAGTTGACGTCTACCTATGATGAAAATTACAGGCCTCTCTCATCTTTTTAAGTGGGAGAACTTGCACAATTGGTGGCTTTTTTTCCCCACTGTATGCACGCACCACTTTTCCGTTACTTATTTTTTTGACATTTTTGAAACAAAAAAAAAACACTTCACCAATTTGGACTATTTTGTGTATGTCCATTACATGAAATCCCAATAAAAATCAATTTAAATTACAGGTTGTAATGCAACAAAATAGAAAAAACGCCAAGGGGGATGAATACTTTTGCAAGGCACTGTATGTACTCAGTGACCAGTTAATAAGGTACAACACCCCGTTCACAAAAATTGTACGCTCCTACAGACAGTGAGTCACGTGGCCGTGGCTTGCTATATAAAGCAGGCAGACAGGCATCGAGGCATTCAGTTACTGTTCGATTGAACGTTAGAATGGGTAAAACTAGTGACCTAAACGACTTTGAGCGTGGTATGATCATCAGTGCCAGGCGCACCGGTTCCAGTATCTAAGAAACGGCCGGCATCCTGGGCTTTTCACGCACGACAGTGTTAAGGGGTTTATCGAGAATAGAGTGAGACTAACAAAAAACATCCAGTCAGTGGCAGTCCTGTGGGCGAAAACAGCTCGTTGAAGAGAGAGGTCGAACGAACATGGCAAGAATCGTGCAAGCTAACAGTGGGCCACAAACAGGCAAATAACGGCACAGTACAACAGTGGTGTGCAGAACGGCATCTCGTAACGCACAAGTCGTCGGTCCTTGTCATGGATGGGCTATTGCAGCAGACGACCACACCGGGTTCCACTCCTATCAGCTAAAAACAAGAAGAAGCGGCTCCAGTGGGCACTTGATCACCAACACCGGACAGTTGAGGAGTTGAAAAACATTGCCTTGGTCCGACGAATCCCGGTTCCTGTTGCATCATGCTGATGGCAGAGTCAGGATTTGGCATAAGCAGCATGAGTCCATGGCCTCATCCTGCCTGGTGTCAACGGTACAGGCTGGTGGCGGTGGTGTAATGGTGTGGGGAATGTTTTCCTGGCACACGTTAGGTCCCTTGATATCAATTGAGCAACGTTTGAACGTTTCAGACACCTTGTAGAATCCATGCCCCGTAGAATTCAGGCTGTTCTGGAGGCAAACCCGGTACTAGATCGGTGTACCCAATAAACTGATAGTGAGTCTAACAAGACAAGAAATAGGGTTAGAGGAGGCACCCCACAAGACCATGTTAGTCCACTGAGCTGAAGCCCATGTATTAGCTTGGAGAGCTTACCCATGTCTCCAGGTCTAAGAACAACCTATGTTTCATTGGTTAGGCACAAACAGACTGTACCACCAGGCTAGGAGAGAGAGAGGACTGATAGACTAAAGCAACGTTCCATTGAGTCTTATATTAACACAAGCATTGATAAGACAAGAGTAAGGGTTTGAAGCGGTACCAGGTAGAGAGAGAGGAGATAGAGAGAGTGTGAGAGAGAGAGAGAGAGAGAGAGAGAGAGAGAGAGAGAGAGAGACAGAGAGAGGAGCGAGAGATAGAGAGAGATAGAGAGAGAGGAGCGAGAGAGAGAGAGAGAGGAGCGAGAAAGAGAGAAGAGAGAGAGAGAGCGAGAGAGGAGAGAGAGGAGCGAGAAAGAAGGATAGAGAAGGAGCGAGAGATAGAGAGGAGCGAGAGGAGAGAGAGAGGGAGCGAGAGAGAGAGCGAGAGAGAGAGAGAGAGAGAGAGAGAGAGAGTGGGAGCGAGAGAGAGAGAGGGGAGAGATAGATACAAACAGACAGCGACAGAGAGATAGGAGTAGCTTACTGACCGCTCGTACGATGCCGGGCAGGCCCCACTCGGTGCTGAGGAGTCTGTGGCTGTGGAGCCGTCCGTCAGTGTCCAGGTTCCTGTCCAACACATCCACTCCCACCACATTAGGGTTCATGGGGTTAGGGTACTTCCTCATCGCTGCCTTTATCACTGTCTCCCACGGGTAGCTACATTCAGTAAATGATCATAGAGATAGCTGAGTAGAGAGAGAGGAGAGAGAGAGAAGAGGAGAGATGAGAAGAGAGAGAGATAGAGAGAGAGCTAGAGATAGAGAGAGAGAGAGAGAGAGAGAGAGAGAGAGGAGGAGGAGGAGGACTGTTAAGGTTTATAGGGTTTTGGGTACTTCCTCATCGCTGCCTTGATCACTGTCTCTAAGTACTGGAAAATCAGTCAACATGGTAATATGGCCCTTTGACACACCAGGTTTAAAGATTGTGAATATGGCACAATTACTACAGCATGTACAGAATAACAAACGGGTTACTAAACAAGATAAAACGGTCATGCAATGTCACAATCATTCCACCTATTATCTTCAACATGTGTTGTTTCAATCATTTATGCCATTTAGCAGACGCTTTTATCCAAAGCAACTCTCAGTCATGCATGCATACATTTTACATCTGGATGGGTCCAGTATGAAAAATGTATGCACTCACTAACTGTAAGTCGCTCTGGATAAGAGCGTCTGCTAAATGACTAAAATGTAAAATGTAAATGTCTTGGGAATCAAACCCATTATCCTGGCTTTGCAAGTGCCATGCTCTACCAATGGAGCTACACAGGACCACCTTGTGGTTCAAATAGAAAAACATAACTGACATGTTCAAACGTTTGCGTGACAGTGACACTTTGTAAACCCGGGACCTCAACAGTAACACTGTATCACTCACATGCTCAACCGGAGAGGGAACAATGTAGGATCGCATCGCTGCTCTGCGCTCATTCCGACGAGCCTCTAATATAGGCTAATATTTGGAACGATATAGATTCAAATAATTCAAATAAAGACAACGGTTCTACAAGCAAGCAACGATGTATTTAACGGTAGCTAGCCTATCTAAATGCTAAGCTTAGAGACTATTGGCCTACTAACCTGAAAACATGTTCTGTACTCCAGATCTTCATCTTTCCGTTATCTTTGGCCTTCTCCTTATAGGAGAATGTCCGGTCCTTGCATCCAAAATATCCGTTCGTTACAGGCCCATTCTCTACGGGGAAATATCTTCAGTGGCCATCATTGTATGAGGGATCCGGTCCGTAGACACAAGTAGAAACGATCACCAATAAAGGGACTTCAGGCCTTGGCGTTTCGTTACGAATCAACTAGGCCTGTGCGTAGGCTAAAACACGGCGCAAAATATCCATATCCCGTTCATAGCGCACACAGATCAAGGATGGGAAAATAGTCAGGTAGTCTATGATGTATAGACGAGATCACAACCGAGGGGTCGTAAAAAAAAGACCGGTTACATATTCCCGGTCTCCACTACTGCTGCATTCGACTACAGATCTCCGCATGCGCAACATCAAACCCTCTCCGTCATCAGTCCAACGAGTAGCACGAGAGAGCCGTTTTCAGCGCAGTGAAATGGTTGCGGTCATTATGGTGCCTCTATAACGAATTTCTCTATTCGGCCGTTATGTTAACTAGTTTTATATTGGAACATAACCACGGATATACAAATATAGTAGGGTTTTGGGTAGCCGAAACGGTGGAACTGTTAGATTGCATGACCTTGCACTGAATGTCACAATAAAAGGACCGTGTATAGCCCTATCTGTCGACACGGTAAGATAAGAAGAATCTTCATTCTCATCAAATAATAGTGCGCAGAGTTTCGGTAGATTTGACTTATTTTACTGGATACAATTAGCTAGCTTGCTCATTTTTCTTTATCTTATGGTTCAAATTATAAGATGGGGAAATGGTCCATATATGATCAATGAATAGCACATTGCCGTGTTATCACAGTGATGTGGAGTGCCAGTGGGCTATACTGCAAAATGCAAATAACCTATTCTACCCTACTCAAATATCCAGACATATATTTTGTAATATGCCTATATTTTAATTGCGCGTAATGCTTTATTCCCATCAGATTAAATACGGTTTGGGTACGGCAGATGCTTCCTGGTTGGGGGTGAGGGGGGGGGGGGGGCGTCATATTTAGGCTACGGTTCATAGATCATTAAATAATCACAACGTGTTATCAACGCGCTCTAAACCAATAGCCTATATTATTACTACTCTGCTCGCGCACTATGCAATGACCTGGTTGGATATAAAGTGTGTCGAATGTAACATCTATTGTAGTTTTGAATGAAATAGCATAGGCCTACAGATTGGATGCCGGTTAGCCGGCGGTACGGACAGTCAGTCCGACCGGTCAAAAAGCTGCTGACATGCTCCCCGTGCCGTGTCAGCCCGGCATTTGTGCGCGGCTGGATAGAGGACCATTCGTCTATCACATCACCGCGCAGAACAGTGCAGCGCGGTATCGCCCCCCATGCCCTCCTACTGGCTCCCCCATCCTCTCCCCACGGCCTGTTAGGAACAGATAGATATTGATGGAAGTCTATTTGTTTACTTTACATCAGCATGTGGTGCAGGACTGTAGATACATCTTTTAACTTGTGCTGAGAAATGTTGCTGAATAAGAATAGCCTAAATGAAATGGGCTAATTGACTGAATGAAGACCTGAGTTATTCCAAGAAGCTCTATATCTCCTATTTCATCCCAGTAATACTGTAGACGCTGTCAGAAAGGATGACCTCCTCAGCAGTTGGGGGAAACTACATGGCAGCGTTCAGTGGTTGCTGGATGTTAACACTGAGGACGTTTTACTGAGCTCTTCTGCGTGTTCTCTGTGTGTCTTTCTGCAGGGGACCTCAGATACTGGCCTAAAGATGGAGCTCACCATGCATCTGATAAATGACACCATGAATTTATATAAATGGGCCCTTACCATCGCAGGTAATCCTCACACTCCTGTGTGTGTGTGTGTGTGTGTGTGTGTGTGTGAGAGTCAGTGGCATTGTCAGTGTGTGTGTTTATTAGAGAGAGGTTTTGATCTCGAGGTCCTGGGCTGGCGTGGTTACATGTGGTCTGCGGTTGAGAAGCCCGGTTGGATGTACTGCCAAATTCTCTAAAACGACGTTGGAGGCGGCTTATGGTAGAGAAATGAACATTCAATTCTCTGGCAACAGCTCTGGTGGACATTCCTGCAGTCAGCATGCCAATTGCACGCTCCCTCAAAACTTGAGACATCTGTGGCATTGTGTTGTGTGACAAAACTGCGCAATTTAGAGTGGCTTTTTATTGTTCCCAGCACAAGGAGCACCTGTGAAATGATCATGCTGTTTAATCAGCTTCTTGATATGTCACAACTGTCAGGTGGATGGATTATCTTGGGAAAGGAGAAATGCTCACTAACAGGGATGGGAACACACTTGTGCACAACATTTGAGAGAAATAAGCTTTTTGTACATATGGAACATTTCCGGGATTTTATATTTCAGCTTATGAAACATGGGATCAACACTTTACATGTTATGTTTCTATTTTTGTTCAGTGTAGAGGAAGAAATGTCAGAGATGTTTGTATTACTCACTTTTATCATGGCAATAATACTGAGTGTATTGTCCTTTCCCCCAGACAAGCGAGTGGAGAAATGGCCCCTGATGGACAACCCCCTCCCCACGCTGGCCATCAGTTCCTCCTACCTGCTGTTCCTTTGGCTGGGGCCCAAGTACATGCAGAACAGAGAACCATTCCAGCTCAAGAAGACACTCATCCTCTACAACTTCAGCATGGTCATCTTCAACTTCTTCATCTGCAAAGAGGTGGGCGCTCAAACCTTTATTTAAGTTGAATCTCGTCACCCAGAACCAAATATTGTGTGCTTGCTGCTCTGGCCAGCTACTCGATTTAGCCTGTCACAAGAGACTAACTGAGACGAACTAAAGTCAACTTTCATTGTCCTCCAAGAGTTGCTGAATATTTTATTTCACTTTCACCTTTTGAGCATTCAGCAAACATTTCAAAGTGTAATTTAGCTGCGTAGACTCCTTAGATTCCCTGTTTCCATTAGGTCATATCTGTCTGCTTTTATTTGAGCCCTTCAGTTCCACTCCTCTCTCTCTCTTGGTTAATATGTGTGTTGTAATCTCTTCTATTCCCAGCTCTTCCTGGCGGCGCGGGCGGCCGGCTACAGCTACATCTGCCAGTCTGTTGACTACTCAGACGACCCCAATGAAGTCAGGGTGAGTTCACCCAGAAACGACCCTGGGCGCGCGGCACAGACCTGGGTTCAAGTAGTATTTGAAATCATTTCAAAAATCTTTAGTGTGGCTGGATTCAGGTTGCCGGTCACAATGGAACCAATAGAATATTCACAAAAATGCAAAAAACCCACCCATCTGGCATTCTAGGCAGGCTAAAGCAAACGTTAGTATTTAAACCCAGTAAAGACGCCAGTATGACCAATAACTGGGTCATGCTGGCTGGCCATGATCCTTACAGCGACTGGGATCATGAAATTAGACACCCACTCTCTCTTTCGCTCTCCTCTGCGAGACGTGTCGTTAAGAAACATGATCAGGCTTTATCTATCTGACCAAACCCTCCGATCAGACAGACGGAGCCAGCAGGCGGGTTCAGTTTTACGTAGCTACTGCTCCATGACATTTACACCAGGCCACGTCAGTACAGGTGATCCATTATATTGACCAGATACTCAGGCGGCATGCCACGTCAGTACAGGTGATCCATTATATTGACCAGATACTCAGGCGGCATGCCACGTCAGTACAGATGATCCATTATATTGACCAGATACTCAGGCAGCATGCCACGTCAGTACAGATGATCCATTATATTGACCAGATACTCAGGCAGCATGCCACGTCAGTACAGATTATCCATTATATTGACCAGATACTGAGGCAGCATGCCACGTCAGTACAGATGATCCATTATATTGACCAGATACTCAGGCGGCATGCCACGTCAGTACAGATTATCCATTATATTGACCAGATACTCAGGCGGCATACCACATCAGTACAGATGATCCATTATATTGACCAGATACTCAGGCAACATGCCACGTCAGTACAGATGATCCATTATATTGACCAGATACTCAGGCGGCATGCCACGTCAGTACAGATGATCCATTATATTGACCAGATACTCAGGCGGCATGCCACGTCAGTACAGATGATCCATTATATTGACCAGATACTCAGGCAACATGCCACGTCAGTACAGATGATCCATTATATTGACCAGATACTCAGGCAGCATGCCACGTCAATACAGATTATCCATTATATTGACCAGATACTCAGGCAGCATGCCACGTCAGTACAGATGATCCATTATATTGACCAGATACTCAGGTGGCCGCTCTAACAATGAAAATAAATGTCTTCAAACATGGAAGGCAGTCGGGAAGAGGCTAGATCAGGTGGGAGCATTCTAGCCAATGAGACGGCAGATACGCGTGTGAACAACAGGCTCGACTCCGATATAAAGTGTTTTTTTCTCAAAGTTGCCGTCTCCTACTTATATCAGTACACTAGTAACAACTTAATCATTACAAAACGTCTATTCAATCAAATAAGCCACACGTAGCAAATAAGACATTACATTTTTTGTTGACCAAATTACGACACTCTCTCATTGACCTCCATACAAAAAGTCCTTGCTTGGTGAGCAAAAAAACCATAATAAAACACCACCTGCTAGAGAAGACACATGTTGGGCCCAGTTATCTCTTTCGCTTCTCCTCTTCCTCTCTGACGTCAGCGACCATTTTGTGTCCAAGGTTGATGATGAAAGGTGAATGGTCAGGGATCATATCAGGGTAATAGTCTAGTCTACAGATTCTAGCAGACACATAAACATCCCTCTAGAGAAGACATGACCCCTAAGTTATGAAATATAACCAGTCTGGAGATGGTTGTCCAAATCTTCCTCAATGATACAGGACATATACTAATGCCCCCCCCCCCCCCCCACAGATAGCAGCAGCGTTGTGGTGGTATTTCATCTCTAAAGGAGTAGAGTACCTGGACACGGTGTTCTTCATCCTGAGGAAGAAGTTTAACCAGGTCAGCTTCCTCCATGTATACCACCACTGCACCATGTTCACCCTCTGGTGGATCGGCATCAAGTGGGTCGCTGGCGGACAGTGTGAGTATTCTCTATTTATCCTTTATATAACCTGGAACTGCCTTGACAACAGGAATCTCTTCTTTTGCATTGTACTGCAGAAGCATGCAGTAACATGTTACATTCCCTTATTAGAAAGTAATGCATTATTAATCGCAATTTAGTAATGGACCTCATTACATTATCTGCTGGGTTCCCCCCTTGCAGCATTCTTTGGTGCACACATGAATGCAGCCATCCATGTCCTGATGTACCTATACTATGGTCTGACCTCCTGTGGACCCAAGATCCAGAAGTACCTGTGGTGGAAGAAGTACCTGACTGTCATCCAGATGGTAAGAGATCTGTTAACAGTAACTCGATTGAGATGGATTTACAGTAAGTCAGTAATAGCATTATGTCATATCATGCTACTGGGTTGCTGGACTGTTCGATAACTGAACCTCGAAGGCCGAAGTACATCTGGTCTTCTTCTCTACCTGGAGAGATAATGAAAACCAGAAAGGTTCTGCCCTCCAGGAACGAGTGTTTCACCTTCTCCCCCCTTCTTCGCTTTGATCCAGTTCTACGTGTCCACAGTTGAATGGCCCTGTCCTACTGTATATAATAAGGTTTCAACTGATCCCTCCCTCCGTCTCTACCTCAGATCCAGTTCCATGTCACCATCGGCCACACTGCTCTGTCCCTCTACATGGACTGTGACTGTATAGCCCTGTCATACTGTATATATATAATAATAATAATAATAATAATAATAATAATATTTCACCTCCGTCTCTACCTCAGATCCAGTTCCATGTCACCATCGGCCACACTGCTCTGTCGCTCTACATGGACTGTGAGTTTCCCCACTGGATGCACTATGCCCTTATCTGCTACGCCCTCACCTTCATCGCCCTGTTCGGTAACTTCTACTACCAGACGTATCGCCGCACGCCACGGCTACCCAGGGAGCCCAAGGCCGTCAAGGCTCTGTCTAACGGGGTCTCCAACGGGTTGTCCAAGGGACTGGGGAATGGAGTGCTGCTGGGGGGCAAGGTGGAGGAGAAGGAGAGGCCATCAGGGAATGGAAGGAGGAAGAGGAAGGGGTGGGCCAAGAGGGATTAGATGGAGGGATGGAGGAGGGGTGGAGGGGTGAAGGGGTGAAGGGGGTGGAGGGAGGGTGGGGTGAGGGGTGGAGGGGGTTGGAAGGGGGGGGGGTGGGGGTGGAGGGGTGGAGGAGGGGGTGAGGAGGGGGGGGGGGTGGGGGGGTGAGGGGGGGGGGTGGAGGGGTGGGGGGGGTGGGGGGTGAGGGGGTGGGGGGGTGGAGGGGTGGAGGGGTGGGGGGTGGAGGGGGGGGGGGAGGTGGAGGGGAGGGTGGAGGGGTGGAGGAGGTGAGGGGTGGAGGGGGAAAAGGGGTGGAGAGGGTGGAGGGGGAGGGGGTGGGGGGAGAGGGGTAGGAGGGGTGGGGGAGGTGGAGGAGGTGGAGGGGTGGAGGGAGGGGGGGAGGTAGAGGGGTGGAGGAGGTGGGGGAGGTGGGGGTGGAGGGGTGGAGAGGAGGGTAGAGGGGGGAGGAGGTAGAGGGGTGGAGGGGGGGGAGGGGGTGGGGGAGGTGGAGGGGTGGAGGGGTAGGAGGGGTGGAGGGGTGGAGGAGGTGGAGGGGGGGAAAGGGGGGGGGTGTGAGGAGGTGGAGGGTGGAGGGGGTGGAGGAGGTGGGGGGGAGGTGGAGGAGGTAGAGGGGTGGAGGAGGTAGAGGAGGGTGGAGGTGGAGGGGTGGAGGGGGTGGGGGGTAGAGGGGGTTTGGAGGGGGGGTGGAGGGGTGGAGGAGGTGGAGGGGTGGAGGAGGTGGAGGGGGTTTGAAGGAGGTGGAGGGGTAGGGGGGGAGGAGGTGGAGGGGTGGAGGAGGTGGAGGGGGGAGGAGGTGGAGGAGTGGAGGAGAAGGTGGAGAGCGACAGCTTGGGGTTAAATTATTATGCCTTCCACCCTATTCCCAATATAGTACACTACCTGTAGGTGGAGGGTGGTCAATTCCATTTCAATTTATGAAGAAAACTCAAATTCAAATTTTCCTCATTGGCTTTGATTGGGGAAAATTAGAATTTCAGTTGACTTTCTGCATTGACTGAATTGAAATGGAAATAACCCCAACCATGGTAAAGAGGTCACGACGTGACCAAGGTGACCATCACTACAACTAATCCAACATTCAGTAGCTTCTGGTCTGGGAAACAATAACATCATCATGTTCTCTCTCTGTACTGCAGTGTTGAGGTTTGTAGCTAGCTAACCGACTGGTTTATAGCTAGATGGTTCACTGGTGTGTAGCCATAACCCACTGATAACAGTTACACTGCTATCCAGAGACAGGAACACACCACACATACGTAGGCTTCCATCACCATCCATCATCCAGTAGAGGAACCAATGTCAGTCGATCTTTGGCCTTATTTTAATTTAACCATTCAATGTGTATGTATGCCTTTAAAAAATATGACTTACTGTTTATCATTTTTGTCCTTTGTCCAGATTTGTTGATTCATATTATGTGAGGTAGGCCATTTGAGTTCTTCAGCCCACTCACACTGTTGCCATGAGCAGATAGATAGAGAGAGAGAGAGAGAGAGAGAGAGAGAGAGAGAGAGAGAGAGAGAGAGAGAGAGAGAGAGAGAGAGAGGGATTTTAAAAAAGGCCAGGGGATAGAGATTAAAAGGGAAAAAATTGGGGCCGAAAAAAGAAGGGAAATTAACGAAAAAAGAAAAAGTCTTTTTAATTGCCCCAAAAAGGTTGAGGTTAATTTTTAAAGGACATCAGTTGGAACCTGGAATCTAGGTTGAACCCAATTAGAGGTTTTTAAAAAAAGACATTCCAATTAACTGGAATCTAAAAAAACATTCAATTAAATAAATTTGAAGTGACATTTAGTTAGGGCAGTGGAATCTAGAAGTTTACATTCAGTTAGAGGCAGTGGAATCTAGAAGTGACATTCAATTAGAGGCAGTGGAATCTAGAAGTGACATTCAATTAGAGGCAGTGGAATCTAGAAGTGACATTCAGTTAGAGGCAGTGGAATCTAGAAGTGACATTCAGTTAGAGGCAGTGGAATCTAGAAGTGACATTCATTAGAGGCAGTGGAATCTAGAAGTGACATTCAAGTTAGAGGCAGTGGATCTAGAAGTGAATTCAGTTAGAGGCAGTGGAATCTAGAAGTGACATTTCAGTTAGGGCAAGTGGAATCTAGAAGTGACATTCAGTTAGAGGCAGTGGAATTAGAAGTGACATTCAATTAGAGGCAGTGGAATCTAGAAGTGACATTCAGTTAGAGGCAGTGGAATCTAGAAGTGACATTCAGTTAGAGGCAGTGGAATCTAGAAGTGACATTCAGTTAGAGGCAGTGGAATCTAGAAGTGACATTCAGTTAGAGGCAGTGGAATTAGAAGTGACATTCAGTAGAGACAGGGAATCTGAAGTGACATTCAGTTAGAGGCAGTGGATCTAGAAGTGACAGTTAGTTAGAGGCAGTGGGAATCTAGAAGTGACATTCAGTAGAGGCAGTGGAATCTAGAAGTGACATTCAGTAGAGGCAGTGGAATCTAGAAGGGATGACATTATGTTAGAGCAGTGGAATTAGAAGTGACAATTCAGTAGAGACAGTGGAATCTAGAAGTGACATTCAGTGGAATCTAGAAGTGACACAGTTAGAGGCAGTGGAATCTAGAAGTGACATTCAGTTAGAGGCAGTGGAATCTAGAAGTGACATTCAGTTAGAGGCAGTGGAATCTAGAAGTGACATTCAGTTAGAGACAGTGGAATCTAGAAGTGACATTCAGTTAGAGACAGTGGAATCTAGAAGTGACATTCAGTTAGAGGCAGTGGAATCTAGAAGTGACATTCAGTTAGAGGCAGTGGAATCTAGAAGTGACATTCAGTTAGAGGCAGTGGAATCTAGAAGTGACATTCAGTTAGAGACAGTGGAATCTAGAAGTGACATTCCGTTAAAGGACAGTGGAATCTAGAAGTGACATTCAGTTAGAGACAGTGGAATCTAGAAGTGACATTCAGTTAGAGGCAGTGGAATCTAGAAGTGACATTCAGTTAGAGACAGTGGAATTTTGTCAGAAATGTATTTTTGTTTTTTATTTTACTGGAATGTCCTGGTTGCCTCTACATACAATATCACAAGTTGTCTTACTCAGTGAATGTGTTTCTGTGAGCAGAGCTAAGTAGACAGACTATGTCAGGGGATAGTAACTGTGAAGACGCTGCTATGGACTATTAGGGCAAATCCAACAACTGGTCAACTGGGAGATGCTGTTTATCAACCAATCAAATCAAATGATTGATTGCTTGATTGATTTTGATACGCTGTTTAGGCAATATCAGCTGGTCAACATCTTTAGTTAGTGTACTGTACATACAGCCGCTGGAGGACCATGTGATCTACCTAACTGTGACACGTGTAGAGGACAACATGATGCAGTCAACTCTAGAGCAGCAAATTCAACGATGTATCAAGTAATGTAATAAGATGCCATTTCTTGTTTTTATTGATTTATTGTTCCTATCTTTACTATAAATATTTATTTTTTTTCTTCTGAATGGCAAAGTGCTTGTCTGTGTTTTTGTGTTCTTGGAGATTTTTATTTATTTATTACGTGTTGTATATATTATACATGCAGTGTGATTTTGTACATTGTGTGTTTGGGAAAAGTACCCAACTTAATACCAGGATGAGCAGATATTTCTCTGTCCAAAACAAGCTTGCATGTTCTTTTAAATTATCATGACCTATTTCAACTCATAGTTACAAATAAACAGAATGCCTGTACACACGTGTTGTCTCTCCTTCAGGCATTGAAAGATATTGTATGTCTGCGATCAGTTCATTATTGTGTTTGATTTATGTACTGCTCAGGACAGGAAGGGAGGGTGTAGATCGTCACTGCTGTGGACCAAGGTCAGGTTGTGGATTGGTGATTCTGAGCAGGGTGCCGCACTTGCCATTCCTCCAGTGAACAGCAGAGTGCGAAGTGGTCATTAGAACAGAACGCTGTTTCATGTCTCTAGCTCTAGTGAAGAAGGGGTTTACACACCAGAAAGTTGTCCACCTTTTGCTCATTCCCAATTTCTAATTTGAGGCGACTAGGAGGGGAGTGTAAGCTCCAGCAGCTCCACCCATGGGTCCACCATGTTTCTTTCTCCGCCAGTCTAGTCCAGTCCCGGATCCAACTGTGCAGCTCCCAAAACCTGCCCAATTGTTTTCTTTCTCCAGTCCAGTCTAGTCCAGTCCAGTAATCTAATCTGTGCAGGCTCCACTCCATGTCCACCCATGTTTTTTTTCCAGCCAGTTAGTCCGTCCAGTCTAATTGGGGAGGATACAGCAAGGTCCCAGGTCAAACACTAGAGGGGGTTCCCAAAGGGCACCCTATTCCCTTTGGCTCTTTTCACCAGAGCCCAGGGTGCATATAGTGCACTATAAGGGAATGGGGTTCCATGGGATGCACCCAGCGGGTTTAATAGATGGTGGGACCCCAGGGGGTTTACCTACTCCTTATCTAAATGATCAGGGCCCAAGGACAATCAGAACATTACCTCACACTAAGCCAAGGAGAAAAGGTTTCCAGGTAACTGTACACAGGGTTTGAAAAAAACTGGGGCCCTCCCACCTCCCAACCACCCCAGGACAGAAAACACAAAAAACAACAAAAACGAAACACACAACCAAAAAACAAAACACAACAAAAACAAAAACACACAAACAAACACAAAAAAAAACCCAAAAACAAAACACAAAAAAACAAAACACAACACACAAACACAAACACACAGAACACACACAACAACAACAACACACACAAAAACACCACACAAAAACACAACACAAACACACAAAAACAAAAAAAAAAAAAACACAAACACAAACACAAAACAACAAAAACAAACACAACAAACAACAAAACAAACACACAAACACACACACAAACAACAAAACAACACACAAAACCCAAAAAAACAAAACAAAACAACACAGACACCAAACACCCCAACACACACAAAACACAACACACAGAACACACAAACAAACACCCCACACACAACACACAAACAAACACAACACACCACACACAAAAACACAAACAAAACAGGACACAAAACACACCACAAACACACACACAAAACACACAACACACACACACAACACACAGACACGCACCCCACACACCAACACACAGACACACCACACACAGCACGCACCTTCCTCTGTAATCCATTAGGGCCCCCACACAGTTGGATTATTGTGTGTGAGAGTGCGTGTGTGTTCATGCACTACTAGACTAGAGAGTTTATGGGTGGGTGTTTGTAATTCTGTTACCAGGAGCGATGCTTTAATAACTCAATACAGGACAGCTGTAATTTTCAGCAGGCTCCTCCCCTTGAGGATCTCTATTTCCTCACTGCCCTGCAGTTTCAACATTCTCCTCAGAACCAGAGAGAAGATTCCCTGGCCTGCAGTTTTCAACATCTCCTCAGAACCAGAGAGATGATTCCATGGCCTTGCAGTTTCAAAATCTCCTCCGAACCAGAGAGAAGATTCCCTGGCCTGCAGTTTCAACATCGCCTCAGAACCAGAGAGAAGATTCCCTGGCCTGCAGTTTCAACATCTCCCTCAGAACCAGAGAGAAGATTCCCTGGCCTGCAGTTTCAACATCTCTCAGAACAGAGAGAAGATTCCCTGGCCTGCAGTTTCAACATCTCCTCAGAACCAGAGAGAAGATTCCCTGGCCTGCAGTTTCACATCTCCTCAGAACCAGAGAGAAGATTCCCTGGCCTGCAGTTTCAACATCTCCTCAGAACCAGAGAGAAGATTCCCTGGCCTGCAGTTTCAACATCTCCTCAGAACCAGAGAGAAGATTCCCTGGCCTGCAGTTTCAACACCTCCTCAGAACCAGAGAGAAGATTCCCTGGCCTGCAGTTTCAACATCTCCTCAGAACCAGAGAGAATATTCCCTGGCCTACAGTTTCAACATCTCCTCAGAAACCAGAGAGAAGATTCCCATGGCCTGCAGTTTCAACAATCTCCTCAGAACCAGAGAGAAGATTCCCTGGCCTGCCAGTTTCAACATCTCCTCAGAACCAGAGAGAAGATTCCCTGGCCTGCAGTTTCAACATCTCCTCAGAACCAGAGAGAAGATTCCCTGGCCTGCAGTTTCAACATCTCCTCAGAACCAGAGAGAAGATTCCCTGGCCTGCAGTTTCAACACCTCCTCAGAACCAGATAGAATATTCCCTGGCCTCACATAACCCTTTGTGTCTTTTTCAGACTTTTTAGGCACATAGAAACATCTATGTTTTAAAAGTCTCAAATATCTGTCCTATGCCTGTTACTGGATGGTCGAGAGGACTAATTAAGGAGGATTTCTATGCCTCTACACTCCCCCCCTCGTCTCCTCCCTCACATATTCATCCTTCAGGGGCCAGGCTAGAGCAGACAGGTGTTCATCTATATGCCTGATGGAGGAGGAGGGGAAGAGGGGTGGAGAGGTGGGGGGGGAGAGGAGGAGGGGGGAAGAGGGGGGGAGACGGTGGGGGGGGGGGGCGGAGGGGGAAGAGGGGTGGAGAGGTTGGGGGGGTGGGGGGAGGAGTGAGGGGAAGAGGGGTGGAGAGGTGGTTGTGTTGGGAGGAGAGGAGGAGGGGAAGAGGGGTGGAGGGGGGGGGGGGGGGGGAGAGGAGGAGGGGGAAGGGGGTGGAGAGGGTGGGGGGGAGGAGGAGGAGGGGAAGAGGGGGGAGAGGGGGGGGGGGGGGAGGAGGAGGGGAAGAGGGGGGAGAGGTGGGGGGGGGGGAGGAGGAGGGGAAGAGGGGGGGAGAGGGGGGGGGAGGAGAGGAGGAGGGGAAGAGGGGGGGGGGGAGAGGGGGGGGGGGAGGAGGGAGGAGGAGGGAAGAGGGTGGAGAGGTGGGGGGGGAGGAGGAGGGGAAGAGGGGTGGAGAGGTGGGGGGGGGGGAGGAGGAGGGGAAGAGGGGGTGGAGAGGGGGGGGGGGGGGGGGGGGAGGAGGGGGAAGAGGGGTGGAGAGGTGGGGGGAGGAGAGGAGGAGGGGAAGAGGGGTGGAGAGGTGGGGGGGGGAGGAGAGGAGGAGGGGAAGAGGGGTGGAGAGGTGGGGGGAGGAGAGGAGGAGGGGAAGAGGGGTGAAGAGGTGGGGGGGAGGAGGAGGGGAAAGGGGGGGAGTGGTGGGGGGAGAGGAGGAGGGGAATAGGGGTGAAGAGGTGGGGGTGGATGGGGAGGAGAGCAGGGTTGGTGGAGAGGAGAGGAGTGGAGGAGAGTTGGGGTGGGAGGTGGGTTGGGGGGTAGCCCAAGAGGTGGGGATAGTGGAGAGTTTAAACCCCAAACATCTGTGGTTCTTAAAAAAAAAAACAGACCCACTACCACAGGACAAAGCCAAATAATTAGCTTAACAACATCTTTGACAATTAGATAGTGATTTCCAATGAGGGATTAGCTGTGCTTTAGCACCAGCTGTAAATAAATAATAAAAGCCAGACTCACCAGTATGCAGGCTGTGGTGATAAACTAGCACAGCAGAGGTACTCTTCAACTCTGGCTCTCTTAGGCATTCCCAAAACATTCTGCTGGAATGGTTGTAATAAACTATACAAGAGGCTACAAGTGTGAGGGGATTTCTATTGGTTTCCTATGACATTTATTGTACCTGTGTGCATATTACTATTGAGACTACTCTCTTGATATTACACACCCCGGTTAGTGTGAGGAGGGTGAGTGATAACCCCAGTTAGTGTGAGGAGGGTGAGTGATAACCCAGTTAGTGTGAGGAGGGTGAGTGATAACCCCCAGTTAGTGTGAGGAGGGTGAGTGATAACCCCAGTTAGTGTGAGGAGGGTGAGTGATAACCCCAGTTAGTGTGAGGAAGGTGAGTGATAACCCCAGTTAGTGTGAGGAGGGTGAGTGATAACCCCAGTTAGTGTGAGGAGGGTGAGTGATAACCCCAGTTAGTGTGAGGAGGGTGAGTGATAACCCCAGTTAGTGTGAGGAGGGTGAGTGATAACCCCAGTTAGTGTGAGGAGGGTGAGTGATAACCCCAGTTAGTGTGAGGAAGGTGAGTGATAACCCCAGTTAGTGTGAGGAGGGTGAGTGATAACCCCAGTTAGTGTGAGGAAGGTGAGATCGTCTGACTGTCTCTGTCCCATAGCTCTGTCCAAAAACTACCCTCCTCTCTTGCTCTCTCTCTCTCTCTCTCTCTCTCTCTCTCTTTACTCAGCTCTGATGGTCTCCAGGCTACTGTAAAACAGTTTCACAACACAGCTTGAGGCTGAGAGAGAGAGAGAGAGAGTGTCTCAGTGACAAGCCAGGAATTAATGGAAAATGACAATGTTGGCTGGATGTCTTTGGTACTCAGGTACCGGCTTCAGCTTGTTTTGAAACTCAGAGGCACAGTGATAGAATATGTCTCCCTCCAATTCCTTGGTAACAGAATTATGCTTAAATGTACACCAAACCAAAACCATTGATTTCAAAGTTTAACAAACCATACAACTGGTGGTAGACAGGAACCCTTTATTCAAAGAGGGACACCCCCTGTTTATCCAAGGAGGGACACCCCCTGTTTATCCAAGGAGGGACACCCCCTGTTTATCCAAGGAGGGACACCCCCTGTTTATCCATCCTCAAAGCCTCTGATATGACTGCCTGTCTCTCTCTTACAATCTTTAAATCAATAAGGCATTATCACCAATTATGGTGCAACAAATCTTGAGGTCATCATTCAGTGAATCCATTATTTGTGTATGTCATGAGTCCTGCCAAGTGCCAACAAAGGCATTTCTAACTTCCTTTTCCGGTTAGTCTCTTTCTGCGCCCCTCCCCTAGGTGACGTAATTGAAACAGTTTCATTGGTGGTTGGGCGGTGCACTCAGAGATTCAGGAGGGTATTCTCCTCCTCCCCCATCACTGTCGCCGGGATACTGCTGGTAAGATGCCCTTTAAATGATATTCATTGTTTTCATTGGTTAAAAATAACTCTATTGTTATGATTAACATTCATATATTTCGTGCTGAGAGGACAAATGTTTTAATTGTGTCAGTCAGTTTTAACCTCTAATTAGACTACGCACTAGGTTGACTATCGTATTCTAGCCTGTATTCAACTATTGAGTGTACTACAGCGCGAGCATCGTGTAGCTTGCCCTTTTTCTGTCGCTCGCTCCTTTATTTGCGGTTTTCTCCGTTCCATCCGGTTGAGTACTGTCTCATCGAACGTGTCGGACGGCTGGAGTGGAATGACTGGCACGAGCCTGACAGATATTCAAAACACTTTCCCTCGAGCCTTGTCTCGACGATGCTTGCTTCTGGAGGTCGGGGCTCGGAAGAATCCTGTCTTTAAAAGAATGAGAGAGAGAGAGAGAGAGAGAGAGAGAGAGAGAGAGAGAGAGAGAGAGAGAGAGAGATCAACAGTCAGACGGCTGGACACATGCTTCAGCCCAGTGCATTTAATTGGCTGATGAGATTTCCATTCCCTGCGTGTGTATGGGCTAGTAGCCTAGTAGGCCTAGTCTGATGGTGTTGAGAGGAGAGATGGTTTGCCTCTACTGAAACCTTATTTTGGGTGGATTGCTGAGTGTTGTTATGAAGGTTTCCTTTACATACAATATTAATTTCAGATACGTTCTATATTTAAAGACCTCTCAAAATAGAATGTCCTCTCGTTTAGCCTACTTGAGTCTACTTTCAAGAATCGCATGAAAGCAATCAACTCGGGCTTCTCCGCTTCGTCTTCTTCTTCTTTGCATTTGTACTTAAATAACGATGTGTCAACTGGGTTATTTTCAGCCAGAAGAACACAGCGCGGGGAGGGACTGTCTGGGTGATGTGATGTGGAAGTAGACTAGGCTATTGAACTGAACGTCCATCCTCCCTATATGGCACCATGAACCCTGCATCAAGCGGCGCTGCCCGACTCGCGCAGCCAGCTAGACAATAGCAACAGAAAGCAGCAGCAACAGCGCGCTTCCTCTCCGGCTGGCGGCAAAGACACTCGATCTAAAGAGACACCGAAAAGCAGCACTCCGTCAAAAGAGCAACACGTCAAAGCAGTGCGGAGGAGGGAGAGGCAGCCGCGGCAGCTCTCCGGTCTCCACGGCAACCAGCAAACACAGACAGTCTTCTTCTTTCACACGCGCGGCAGGCGTGGCAGGCGCGGCCCCTGTCCAGCCCGAAAGGTGCTGAAATCCAGACGTTGAGCAGGGCGGCGGCGGCGGCTGGGAGCGGCAGAGGTGCGGCAGAGGAGGGCAGTGGTCAGTCTGAAGACTCGCGTTGTACTGACATATCGTGCTTTAAGTGGGATACAACACGGGTTGTTTCTGATCAGCCTTGTTCATCCAAATCTCCTAAACTGAAGAACAATAACCCGAGAGGAGGTGGAGGAGGAGGAGCTTAGCAGCACAGCGACCGGAAACAAAAAAAAAGCTCCAGCAAGAGAAGTGTGGGCTGCGGCCCTGGGTTCTGGAGAGAGGGATGTTTGCAGTCTGAGCTGATCCAGTTTCACCTGAACAAGAGCTTAAAGCCATAAAACCCTCCACAGTCTGCGTTGTTTTAATATTATATACCCATGGGGGGAAATTGTGGTCCCTGTAAGTGTGACATAGCCTATTTAAAACAAGTTGTTGTTTCGTTTAGAATTTGATTATAATTATTCGTTCTCTTTTTAGGCCTTATCAATAATTAATTTAATATTGTTTATTGACAATGTTTGGCATGTCCATGCTCAGCCATAATGTAATGTACAGTAGGCCTATAGCCCCTATATCAGTGTGAATGCTATTGAAGCCGTGCAATTACTTAGAACAATGTGGACTGCAAATGGGTTCAAGTTAACATATTCAGCAAAGATAGGTCTACATTTTGTTATTTTGTTTCTGTAAGCCATTTAACAAACTATAACGGACTAACATTGAAATTGGAGTTGATTCCAAGGCAATACATAAAATACCATAAATACACAACTTGTTGCAACCACATATTTTTGCCATGGTGCAGGGTTCTGATTGGCCAGTGAGGGGCCAAGCCTAGACACACCCACAATCATCTAAACCCCGCCCTTTAGCGCCAACGCCAGATGGTGCGCCGATAATTGTGATAGTGAAAATAGCTCAAATATTTCTGACCCCTGAACCTACAGCGCTACCGCCTGCGCTTAGACTTACCATTGTGTTAAAATAGAGCCCCCTACGTCATAGGGTGTGACCTGAAGGTAATGTTGTCTAGACTCTAAATGTCATAGGGTGTGACCTGAAGGTAATGTTGTCTAGACTCTATATGTAATAGGGTGTGACCTGAAGGTAATGTTGTCTAGACTCTATATGTAATAGGGTGTGACCTGAAGGTAATGTTGTCTAGACTCTATATGTCATAGGGTTTGAGCTCAGGTGCATCCTGTTTCCATTGATCATTCTTGAGATGTTTCTACAACTTGATTTGAGTCCACCTGTGATAAATTCAATTTATTGGACATGATTTGGAAATGCACACACCTGTCTATATAAGATCCCACAGTTGACAGTGCATGTCAGAGCAAAAACCAAGCCATGAGGTCGAAGGAATTATCCGTAGAGCTCCGAGATAGGATTGTGTCGTGGCACAAAAACATTTCTGCAGCATTGAAGGTCCCCAAGAACACAGTGGCCTCCATCATTCTTGAAAGGAAGATGTTTTGAACCACCAAGACTCTTCCTAGAGCTGGCCACCTGGCCAAACTGAGCAATCGGGGGAGAAGGGCCTTGGTCAGGGAGGTGACCAAGAACCCGATGGTCACTCTGACAGAGCTCCAGAGTTCCTCTGTGGAGATGGCTGTGCAGCAACTCTCCCCATCCAACCTGACAGAGCTTGAGAGGATCTGCAAAGAAGAATGGGAGAAACTCCCTAAATACAGGTGTGCCAAGCTTGTAGCTTCATACCCAAGAAGACTCGAGGCTGTAATCGCTGCCAAAGTTACTTCAACAAAGTACTGAGTAAAGGGTCTGAATACTTATGTAAATGTGATATTTCAGTTTTTTTTAAACCTGTTTTTGCTTTGTCATTATGGGGTATTGTGTGTAGATTGATGAGGGGGGGAAAACAATTTAATCAATTTTAGAATAAGGCTGTAATGTAACAAAATGTGAAAAGAGTCAAGGGGAGTGAATACTTTCCGAATGCACTGTTTGCTAATAGACCAGGGCCCATCTCTCTCCCCCTCTCTCTCTCTCTCCCTCTCCCCCTCCCTCCCTGTCTCTCTCCCCCTCCCTGTCTTTCTCCCCCTCTCTCTCTGTCTCTCTCCCCCTCCCTCCCTGTCTCTCTCCCCCTCCCTCTCCCTGTCTCTCTCCCCCTCCCTCTCCCTGTTTCTCTCCCCCTCCCTCCCCCCTCCAGGTAGCGAAGGATGTGTCAGTGCGTCTGCACCATGAGTTGGAGAACGTGGAGGAGAAGAGGACGAAGACGGAGGAGGAGAACGAGAAGCTGAGGGAAAAGCTGATAGAGGTGGAGGTGACCAAGCAGGCCCTGCACAACCAGCTGGAGAAGGCCAAGGAGGTGAGGAGGGGGGAGACAGGGAGGGTTAGGGGGGTGGGTTAGGGGGGAGACAGGGAGGGTTAGGGTGGTGGGTTAGGGGGGAGACAGGGAGGGTTAGGGTGGGTGGGTTAGGGGGGAGACAGGGAGGGTTTAGGGTGGTGGGTTAGGGGGGAGAGGGACAGGGAGGGTTAGGGTGGAGACAGGGAGGGTTAGGGGGGGAGACAGGGAGGGTTAGGGTGGTGGGTTAGGGGGGAGACAGGGAGGGTTAGGGTGGTGGGTTAGGGGGGAGACAGGGAGGGTTAGGGTGGTGGGTTAGGGGGGAGACAGGGAGGTTTAGGGTGGTGGGTTAGGGGGGAGACAGGGAGGGTTAGGGTGGTGGGTTAGGGGGGAGACAGGGAGGGTTTAGGGTGGTGGGTTAGGGGGGAGACAGGAAGGGTTAGGGTGGTGGGTTAGGGGGGAGACAGGGAGGGTTAGGGTGGTGGGTTAGGGGGGAGACAGGGAGGGTTAGGGTGGTGGGTTAGGGGGGAGACAGGGAGGGTTAGGGTGGTGGGTTATGGGGGAGACAGGGAGGGTTAGGGTGGTGGGTTAGGGGGGAGACAGGGAGGGTTAGGGTGGTGGGTTAGGGGGGAGACAGGGAGGTTAGGGTGGTGGGTTAGGGGGGAGACAGGGAGGGAGGGTTAGGGTGGTGGGTTCGGGGGGGAGACAGGGAGGGGTAGGGGGGAGACAGGGAGGGTTAGGGTGGTGGGTGGGTTAGGGGGGGAGACAGGGAGGGTTTGGGAGGTGGGTTAGGGGGGAGACAGGGAGGGTTAGGGTGGTGGGTTAGGGGGGAGACAGGGAGGGTTAGGGTGGTGGGTTAGGGGGGAGACAGGGAGGGTTAGGGGGGAGACAGGGAGGGTTAGGGTGGTGGGTTAGGGGGGGAGAGGGAGGGTTAGGGTGGTGGGTTAGGGTTAGGTGGAGGTGACCAAGCAGGCCCTGCACAACCAGCTGGAGAAGCCAAGGAGGGAGGGCAAGGTTCTGCACTGTCATGTGCCCGACTGGGTTCAAACCCAGGTCTCCCGCGTGCCACAAGACTGTGTTAGCCTGCCGAGCTAAAGCCGAGACGTTAGCTCAGGGAGTTAACACAAGGCATGGTTACTCATCACAAGCTTGTTAGTTAAGAGGTTCTGAGAGTCAGTAATGTTTTAATGATCGAGAGTCTGTCTGTAAAGCACATTAACTGTCCATAACAGATTCCGCCAGTCATCTACATAATGTCAGAGCTAACGGTTAACAGTGGGCTGAGGATGTGATGTCATCTTTATTCTCTGACAGCTGTCACTGAAGAGAAGAGGAGGCAGGGATGTTCAGAAAGAACATGCTAAAGTACAAGGAGGGCTCCAGGCACGGCGCTGGTGGTGGGGCCGGGGCAGCTGCGGACCGGGCCAAGGTGGAGGTCCTGCAGGAGGAGCTAAAGGCTGCCAGGCTGCAGATCAACGAGCTGAGTGGCAAGGTGAGGCAGCATGATGGACTACACTACCCACAATGCTCTGTGTATTTTTTCTGGCAGGGTTCCATTTTAATTCCTTCAATTCAGGAAGTTACCTAAAATTTCCCTAAACGGTTCTCTATGAGAACACATTGGAAGTGGAATTTCAGTTTACTTCCTGAATTGATCAATGAATTGATTGAAATTGAAATGAAACTGACAGCTGAAGCTTACATAATGGTTTCCATCTCCGACGCTAACATGATGCTATCCTGTCTCCTTACCTCTACAGGTGATGCAGATGCCGAATGAGAACCGGGTCCTCTTGTCCAACATGCAGCGCTACGACCTGGCGCCACACCTGGGCATCAGGGCCAGCCCCCGGGAGAGTGACGGAGGAGATGACGCCTCCCACCCCCACCGTAAACGCGAAGGCCCCGTCGGAGGGGGAGAGCGACTCGGACGAGGTGACACAGCCTAATGTACTACAGTACCCATAATGCTTTGTGTATTAAATACAGTGAAGCTGACAGCTGACGTAAGGTTATCCCGTCTCCCTACCAATCCAGGTGCGTAACATCCGGTGCCTGACCCCCACCCGCTCCCTGTACTCCCCCGAGGGCCGCTTCCTCCCCCGCAGCCTGCGTAACATCCGGTGCCTGACCCCCACCCGCTCCCTGTACTCCCCCGAGGGCCGCTTCCTCCCCCGCAGCCTGCGTAACATCCGGTGCCTGACCCCCACCCGCTCCCTATACTCCCCCGAGGGCCGCAGATGATAGACATCCGTATAGAAGCAGAGTGACTGGGCCGGACCATCGATAGGCTGATAGCAGACACCAGTACCATCATCGCTGAGGCCCGGGTCCATATGGTCTCCAACGGGGAGCTTTATGAGGAGGAAGGGAGCGCCGTCAGGGAGCGCCGTCAGGGCGCCGTCAGGGAGCATGAGCTGCTGTACAGGATCAACGCTCAGATGAAGCTGCAGGGTTTTATAGACAGACTGGATGTCCCCAAGTCAGAGGACAAGGAGGATGAGGAACCACTGTCTGTAAGTTGAACGGAGTTAGGCACACACCAGGGTTTCCCCCAAATAAAAGCTGCTGAATAAAATTGCCACCTGCCAATTGTCCAGGAGAAGAAAGAAAAATCCCATTGCGAAATAATGCATTTTAGCCTATTGATTGATGTAAACACCAGTGGATGTGGTGAGAGCTGATGACACTGCTCAGACAGCTGTTTGTTGCTACAGGAGTGAAACCTGCTTTAATAAACCCAATCATTGCGCAACAATTCTAAAGGCAATTGTGTGTAAAAAGAAAAAAAAAAAAAACAACGGCCACGATTAAAAATAGCTATTTTTTATTTCTCAACTGGTAATCGAAGCGCGCTTCCCATTCGCCTTTCAAGTGCATAGACAACTAGGCAGGCTT